ACTGAAAATGCGCACCTCGGCAAGGTGAGTCTCGATTGCTTTGACAATGGTTCCAGCGAATCTCTCGTTTTTCTTCCGCCAGCATCGTCAGCATATTGATCAGCGGCTTACTGTTGACCGTCAGATCGGCCAGGCTGGACGCGTACTCGGCGCCGATGGCGGCCGCACCGCCTGCACCACCGCCAACACCACCAGTGGCGGCGGCGGCGGCGACTGTACCACCCTCCTCCAAATTGGTCATTGGCACGTTAATCTGGTGGTCGATGGAATTGGTGGCAGTCGCTTGAGACTGCAGAGGCTGCTGTTGATGACCGGAGGAGGACGTCAGCATGGTAAAGAAGAGAGAGATTGAGGTCGAGTTGGCGGTTGTTGTGCTGATGGTTGTTGTCACCACAGTGGGGTGGATTTTTTTTGTGTTGAGTGTGTCCAAGAATTTATATTGTCCTGGAAAAGGAAGGAAATTTATGTAGTACTTTTGTAAATTAAAAAAATAAGATAATTTCTATGATCATGACCATGTAAAGTGTGTAGAAACCCAATTTTATTACTCATTAATTCCTCGTTGTTAACTCTTTCGCTACGAGAGTCGCCTATAGGTGACCCGTGTGTGCGAGTGTCGCCTCTAGACGACATCCAGTGTGTCGAGACACTTGCTTCAAAATTTATCCCTTGTTTAATTTTTTTTAATAAGTATTTTAATAATTGTTAATTTTAAAATATACTGGTACCTCGCCTTACGAGCGACTCATCATACGTGTTGTTCGAGATAAGAGCCTCCGAAGTCGGGCAATGTGGGACAAAGTTGAAAAGTTCATGGATAAAAATTACCGAAAATTACCGAAACAGAGATGTTTGACGAGACATGTCCAACTAATTTTCGCAATACTATAATGAGTAGAAAAAAAACAATGCTCATCGGATAGTTTTTTTAAACTCAGGAACTAGCATAATGATAATTTAGTATTTTTTTATTTAGAAATTTGCTATGGTTTTGCAGAATAAGTAATTGATCTTAGCAATAAATGTCTTTTAAACTTCCCGTAAGGCAAGTATGTATGTGTGTGTGTGTGTGTGTATGTGTGTGTGTGTATGTGTGTGTGTGTGCGTGTATGTATGTGTGTGCGGATACAAATTTTCGTCGACGATTTTGGGAACACGGATCAACCGATTTGTATAATTCAAAAAAACATTCGATTCGTATTGATAAGGAGACGTGCTGATTAGTTTTTCGCGAAGGCAGGTTTGCCGTTCCGAAGATACGGGGCAAAAAGTGCCGAAAACGGTAACTCAGTTTTTAAGAGAACAGAGCGTCCGATTTGAATAATTCAAAAAACATTTTATTTGTATTGACTAAATGAAGAACTGTCCAAATTTTCATGAAGTCAGGTCTTCAAAACAAATTAACTGACGGAACAAATTAACAGCATTTCAACGTATTTATATAAAAAAAATTGCTTCGAGGTACTAACAATTTGACATGCGAGCATGGTTACGGAATGAATTAACTCGTAAGGCGGGGTACCACTGTATATTATTAGGCGGGGTATTATAGATAATGATTGGAAAATCTTGAAATTTTTTGTATGACAAATATTTGAGCGGCTTGCTCCTGCAGGAAACACTCTCATAACAAAAATTATTAATTAAAATATATTAACATGTTTAAACAGGACCCTACTCAGTCAAATATTACTTATTTAATTAAGAGGGCGTCCATTAATCGAGTGAGTCTCAAAAGGGAAATGAGGGGTTTGACAAAAAAAATCGCAAAATATCAGGTGGAGGAGGCGAAAGGATATTTAAAAAAAAAATCAAATTACCTAACCAGAACCAAAAATCATTGAAATTTGAAACTTTCTAGGTACTAAAAACACACATGATGTTGGGTGCTGGAGACAGGGAAGGGTAATTTTACATCATTTATATTACATAATTTTTTTTACAAGTTAACCCTTTCTATAAGCTACTAGAGCTATCCGCTTGACTACCTTTGTGTACGAATACGTAATGAAAATTTTCGAGAGGTTTCTGAACATTTTGGCATACCTTAGAAAAAAATGTGTGTGTGTATGTGTGGATACAAATTTTCCTCGACGATTTCGTGAGCACGGATCAACCGATTTGAAATATTTAAAAAGCATTCGATTCCTATTGATAAGAAGATGGGCTGATTAGTTTTTTTGCGAAAGCAGGTCTAGCCGTTTCGAAGATACGAAGCATAGAATTAAGAAAATGGAAATCGAGTTTTGGAGAGAACGGAGCATCCGATTAGAATGATTTAAAAAAACATTCCTATATTGTAATGAAGATCAAGATTTTGGAAATGCAAGTCCAGCGGTTTCCGAGATCCAGCAAAACAAAAAGTTTGAAAAAAATGCCATTTGGCGGTCGAAAATAAGAAATTTTGAAATTTGAATCGACCAGATAGGTATGAAAAACTTTCAAGAAATTTCAAAAATTAGAAAAAAAGGTTCGTTTAGCTAAAAATTTAGTTTTCAGTTAATAAAAATAAAAATATCAGTATTTTTTAAAAAGGCTATTGTTTTCAATATGCAAATTTTTCTAATGTTTTTAAAATTTTCAAAAATGTTCCAAAAAATTCAAAAATCTCAGAAAAAAATTATTTTTTTCTGATCCTTTAAAAATCTGAAATAGTGGCACAAGTAAATATGTACCACTAGTAAATGTTTTGTGCACCACTAGTTCAAAAAAAATATTTTGATGAACCAATTAAATTGAACATGAGCATCTCAACAAATTTCTACGGGACTTTATATTAATTACAAAAATTTTGTATGTATAAACTGCAATTAAAATAATAAGATTCATTGAGTGAACAATTTAAATAAAAAAACAATATTTCCATAACAGATGTGCAAATAACTGAACAAACAAAAACCTGTTTACAGTCAGCAAATTTGCACACACAAACACATTGAACACTTGACACATTTAGTTCAATAAATAAAAATGAAAGTTGAAACAATGCTTACTTATCAAAACAGCATAATAATTGGAACAAAATAATTTATTTATACAAACTTCTATTACTCTTATTTCTGGTCTGTCCAGACAGAAGTGATTTCACACAGAAATATGTATTGATAATTATATACAATAGGCACTTAATAATTTACAATAATGCTATTCAAGATATCATGTCGAGGAATTAATAACAGGCAAACGTTTGTATTAAAATTGCAAAACAAAATCATAAAATAAAATACCGACTTTTATTTTATTACAACAAATAGTTTTATGGAAATGGAATTGTAATTATAATATATGAATAGATAGCGAGTAATAGTATGTTTTTCCATGAAGAAAAACCAATCTGAAGGCCAACAAACAATATATAAAAAACTAAAGGTTGATTTATAAAATAAACTAGTGGTGTATGGCATCGTGCCTTAAGGCAAATTGCTGGAACTTCCCGTACCGTAACGAAATATTCAAGAAATTTTAAACGTTTTCAAATATATTATTACAAATACTGCAACTTTCATTATTTTTGCTATCTTGTTATATCTGAGCAAATCAAATGTAAATTATAAATAAATCAATTTATCTCCAGAACATTAACAATCGTCATTTCATTTCGAATTCAATTTCTAAAAAAAATAGTTGCCTAATTTGCACAAAATTGAAAAAGTGCTCCCGCATAGTCATAGTCTAAACGCATTTGCAAATAATTCTGTGCGACATTTTCACTTATACTGTGCTTAGCTTGGCGGCATTTTCACATTTTTCAATAGTTTGTTGTTTTCACAAAATTGCAAAAGTGCTCCGTACATTAACAGTCTAAACGCGCTTGGGTAAACATTTGTACCAGAGTGGCGCTTGGACTGTGCTTAGCCTGGGTAATTTTTTGAATTTTTAATCCAAAATTACAAAAATATTTTATGGAAAATAAAAAAAGATGTAATATTTTTTTATCCTCAAAAGCATTTGTTTTGTCAATGCAAGCAGAAAGTTTTTTAGATCATTCAAATCGGACGCTTTGTTCACTCAAAAACTGCCATTTTTTGTACATTTAGCTCCAAATCTTCGAAATGGCTGGACCTGTCTTTGCCAAAAACTAAACACCAATTCTCCCCAACATTACGAATAGAATGTTTTTTAGATAATTTAAATCCGATACTCCGTTATCTCAAAAACTCGATTTCTATTTTCTACACTCTTTGCTCCGTATCTCCGAAACGGCTGAACCTGCCTTTGCCAAAAACTAATCAGCACGTCTCCCTATCAATAGGAATCGAATGATTTTGAATCATTCAAATCGGCTGATCCGTGCGCCCAGAAACGTCGACGAAAAATTGTATCCGTACATACATACTATGTATACAGATTCTTATTAGAATTGCTTAAATGCGCGGCAAAATTCTAAACTTTCATGAATTTTTATAAATTAATCGCTTATCGTAGGCCTATAATATTTTAGTATGTTATTTCATACTACAAAACCTAACATTTAACCTCAAAAAAAACTCAACATTTATATAGGAAGAAACGTCCCAGTCGATTTTTACCAAAAGCAAATCAAAGTGAATATGAATTCTGAAATTCTATTCAAGACCGTGGGCTAAAATGTGGACGAATTTTTTTTTACTTACAAAGAAACGGCTTGGCGGATCATCTCACAACATTAATTAACGCTAGTACTCATCGTGTTACATCAAATAGCTTTTAAATTTTTAAAATCGGTTCAGCAGTTTTTTTTTTGAGAAAATAAAGAAAATTGAAAATCGGCTTACATACATACACACACACACACACTATTTTTGCTTGGTCTTATTCGATTTAGAATAACTAGAAAATCTAAAATTAGCAAATCAAATTTTCTTCATCAAAGAAGCAAAAAACTTCATCTAATAGTTTTCACAAACAAAGTATCCTTCGAGTAGAATAACAAAATTTGATTGGCATTTCTCGTTATTAATTTTAACATAACAAAATTGCACATATGTTTCAAGTACTCGAATATATAATTATCAGTGAGACAGTGAAATCTATCACATTATTTACAACAAAATTAATAATAAAATAAAAGTAAAATTAAAAAAAAATAAAAGCTATCTATGAACTCTTAATATTCTAATTTTCTCACATATTATCTCTTTAGTTTATAATTTGTACACTTCAAATACAAATACAATATAACTATATTGTATTATAGCCTTGGGCATTGAATAAATAAATAAATAAATAAATAAAATTGATACAGGATTAGAAAAAGAAATTTTGTACAAATTGTTTCGATTGCCAAATAATTACTTTGAAGATTATGAAGACTTTCTATCATTATAACGATTTACTGTTTCCAATCAAAACTAAAACAGCCTTATACAAAATTGTGGAGATAATATGAAATAAATATAGAAAAAATTGAATATAAAACAAAACATATGTAAGACATATTCACAAAGAATTAATTTATCACACATGTAACAAAAAACTCAACTATATATGAAACTATATTTCTAATAATTGGTTTTAACTTAATTTAATGAATGAATAGACTTTCTCGAATGCATTTTGTAACTAAAAATCCTGTTTCATGTCATTTCATGTCTTTTCATTTCAAAACTGAGACAACCACCCACTTAAATTATTAATACGAAATGAGTTAATCAAATGGCATATACCAAAGAAAATAATTCAGCAAACTAAGGCTCTAAATCTGTAAAGATCTGTAACTGAAACTTTTTTTGTGACACAAAAGAACCAACCTACTGATCTAATTTATATATGACAAACCATCAATCAAATACTAAAATTATCGAAACAAAGTATTATGTACAAGCTTGCACATAAAGAAGCCTCTGCTGGACACGAAAGGCAATTATTAAATTATCTATAAACTTTATCCAAGACAAATTCTCCTTTAGAGGCAATTAATATACTCATAGGTAAAGACTCATCCCTTCTGAATAAAGAAACTACAATTATTTGATTATAAATGAACCATACAAGGCATCTAGTTCCATATGTGGAACACCGACTTCAATAGTCCCTATAGCCATAAAACTATAATTAGCGACATGTCTTAACACCTTTATGGATGCTACTGACATTTAGCATTGTAATAATACAAATATTTACCAAAGGGTTTATTTTCAATTTTATAAGTTTTCCTCATCCTCTGATAACCAGTTACAAACAATATATTTTTGTCACAAATTAAAGAAAAAATGAGCCTTGTGAGGTTAAGGTATATTATAAATGATTAACACAATAATTATAGAATTTTAGTATATATTCGAGAACTTGTGCATTTTGTAGTAAATTAGACAAAAAGTAAAATTATTGTAACAAACTATTATGTACTTTTGTAACGGCACATAAAGAACACCTTAAAAAGAGCAATACAAATTCATTCTAAATTGGTTCACAAACATCCGAGAAAAATTCTTCTCCAGTGCCAATTATTAACAGATGAAAACACATTCCGAAATCAAAGAATGTCACCATCAACTAAAAAGAAGCCTCTTCGAAACACGAAAGGCAATTATTATTTATTTTATCCGAGACAAACTCTCCTCTAGTCCCAATTAATATACTCGTAAGTAAAGAATGATCAGAATCAGAAAAAATCTGAATAAAGAAAGTTGAATTATTTGGTTGTACATTGAAGCATATTTCTAAAGTGAGAAACAATATAATTTGAAATGATAATATGAGAATTAGGGTTTTAGGATATGCTTGAGAACATGTGCATTTTGTAGTAAATTAGACACAAACTAAAATTATTATAACAAACTATTATGTACTTTAGTAACGACACATAAAAAATACCCTATTCTAAATAAAGAGAAGCTCCATAAATCATTCTAAATTGATCTGCGCACATCCGAGACAAGTTTTTCTTCAGTGCCAATAATTAAACAACTAGTAGGTAAAGACACATTCAGAATTTAAAGATACTTCAATTATTTGCTTGTGTGTAAAGAAATCCTTCTTCTGATGTAAGAATGTCATCATCAACCAGAAACTAAAGTATTATAACAAACTATTATTAAATGCAATTTTTTTGCTTGCATATCTAGAACCATCTCTTCTGGACACGAAAGGTGATTCCAGGTTGATTTGTATCAAATACTCTTATAAAAGATAAATTAGGTTTGCAAGAAGAAAAACCAAGCCATTTCCATCAGATTAAAAAATGTAATCATTAATTAATTTTCTGTAAAGAGAAAATTTTTGCACACTGAGTAACCGATTTGAATGATTCAAAATGCAATTGATTCCTATTAATAAGTATACATGCTTGTATGTAAAAAAAAAATCCCTTCTCTCATGTAAGAATGTCACCATCGACTAGAGATATTGTAACTGACATTTTTTTGCTTGCATATCGAGAGCCATCCCTTCTGGACACGAATAGTCATTACATGTCGATTAGTATCATAAATCACTTGGGAAATTCCTTAGGACCTCAATTACTTCTATATAAAGATAAAACACTCACAAATTTCAATCATTTGCTCAAAGTTAAGGAATTGTTCTAGATGAAATATGATATAATAGCATACGCTAAAAGCCATGTGTGCTGCTACACATCAGTGCATTACAAATTAATATTAAAAACTAAAAGTATCCTTAAAAACTATTCTACTAACCTTAAATAAATGTGTAAAGTCTAAATTTGCTTCTGGATTTCACCATCACTGACATTCTTTCACTACACTACCTGTAGAATCAGATTTATTAGAATTCTAAAGAAAACTTTAAGCTTCGTCCAATTTATAAATTTTATTTATAAAACAAAAGCTAAACACGCACATGACAACGTGATCAAATTAAAACAAAAAAAATATCGAAAGGAAAAGCGTCACATTGAATCGAGGACGATTACAAATGTCGCCATATTGTTTGAAAGCATTGCATGAAAAATTAATCATCGATAAAGGCATGTAAAAACGTTTTATTAAACAAGTCTTTATACAACATGTACAATACAACATACAAATATCAATACCTTAAACTTAAAACTATAATAAAATTCTTATATCTCATAATATCACCACATTGCTGATGACTAATTACACCAGACTAACAAACACACTCAATAAACTTTAATTACAACTTTGTAAAGTACACTTGGTTTTGTTTTAAATGGCGCAGGGTAAAAACTGAATCACTTGATAGTCCTTAAACTAGTAAATACGCACTTTTGTTACTTTAAAATGCATTTTTGTTACTACCTACGCCATTATCGTCACTTTCTAGATGTGTTACGTACTCAGTGTTGCCAGGTCGCCGAGCGTTTCGATTCAATGTCAACGGGGTTGCCCGATGAGGGAAAAGGACACGTGATTGCAAATGGCGGGGAATTTAAATTCCACATTTCAAATCATTTTGAATTGTTCAAAAAGATAGAAAGATTTAAATCTATATGACGTATATAAAGTTTTATATACATCTGTCACAAAAGAATTGAAATTATTCAATGGGCTTCCAAAAGAGGTAAAGATGACCAAAGAAGAGAATAAATTTAAAATTAAGTTAAAAGAATGTTATAAAGCGAATCTAGATAAATAAATTAGACCAAAGCATGAATGTAAAAATAAATAAACGTATAATTGAATTAGAATAAATGATATAAAATGTTGTAATGACCTTATTATATACATCAAATATATAATAACGACATGTAGAAAATAAATATATACTATTGCATAGATATTTTGTACAATCTCTCATTCATACCAGGCATTTCTGTCTGTCTGAGATGTATCAAATTTATAATAAAATTCAAATATAAAAAGCTTTCACATAAAGAATCCTCTTCTGTGCACAAAATATAAATATATTAATTTATCTGTATATTTTAACCGAAACAAATTCTTCTCTAGTGCAAATTTTTATACTTGAAGGTGAAGACTTTTTTTCTATTATCTAAACTTAAATTAAAATTTGATTACATCCTTTATTTCCTTTATCTTAAATGCATATTTACATATTTTATATTATTAAAAAATGACTATTAAAATTCCCCAGGAACAATTATATGTGGCATGCTTTGCAGTGGGTAAACCAGCCACATAATTTCTATTAGCAACCTTCATTTATATACCATACTTATATACATTCTAGAAATATTTTTTATGATTAATTCAATTTTTTAGAAATATTTTTCATGGCTAAACAAAATTTGCCGGGCCAGCTGGTATATATATATACATTAGGGTGGTCCTTAATATGGACTTTTTCGAAATTTTTTGCTTCCGGGTTTCAAATGTTTCCAGCAAAAAAGAGTGTTACAATAATTGCATCATTGAAGATTCTTTTATCAAAACACTCTCCCTTGCTTGTTTATATGTTGCTATGACAACGCTATGTTATAAGCTCTGTTATGGCAGAATTGGCCCATAAGTATTTACTTAGGAAGAAAAACCAAGACTTTGATTTAATTGTGGACTATCTTAATATTAAGACTTAAAACTTTCAGAGAATTTTTTTTCATCAATTTGGGAGCATTTGTGCCCCTGGGAGCAAGGAAATTCGAAAACATCCATCAAACAGAATGTAACATCTAATTATTAAGATGGAAAATAGCGCAAGTGTATCTTTCATGATTGATTATTTAGCTGTACTAGATGCATTATCGAGTGAAATATCCCATTCAGCATCCCAATATATCAGTATTTTTTACTTTCATTCATGGTAAAGTTCAGCCAGGCCGTTTTCTTGTAATAAAGTGTTAAAAAAACTAGTGGTGTATGGCATCGTGCCTTAAGGCAAATTGCTGGAACTTCCCGTACCGTAATGAAATATTCAAGAAATTTTGAACGTTTTCAAATATATTATTACAAATACTGAAACTTTCATTGTTTTTGCTATCATATCTAAGCAAATCAAATGTAAATCATAAATCAATTTATCTCCAGAACATTAACAATCGTCATTTCATTTCGAATTCAATTTCAAAAAAATAGTTGCCCAAATAGTTACACAAAATTGAAAAAGTGCTCCCGTATAATCACAGTCTAAAGGCATTTGCAAATAATTCTGTAATTTGCTAATAAAGATGTAATAATTTTTTATCCTCAAATGCAATTTTTTTGTCAATACAAGCAGAAAGTTTTTTGAATAATTGAAATCGGACGCTTAGTTCACTCAAAAACTGCCCTTTTTTGCACATTTAGCTCTGTATCTTCGAAATGGCGAGACCTACCTTTGCCAAAAACTAATCAGCTTATCTTCCTATCAATAGGAATCAAATGTTCTTTGAACCATTCAAATCGGTTGATCCGTGCGCCCGAAAACGTGGACGAAAAAATGCGGACATACAAAACACACACACACACGCACATCCATTTTTTCTGAGGTATGCCTTAAAAATGTTCAGAAACCTTCAAAACGTCGAGAAATGCAAAAAATTTTATTTTCGATTTTCGGCCCATTGCTATAAACTACCCTACGGGAAGTTAAAAAAAATTCGACGATTTTAATAAAAAAAAAATATGGTAGATACCATAGTCTTATAGATCATACTAAAATATTACGGCTCTCTTAGCTTACCCTTGTTCAATACCAAACAAAAACAAAATTCAAACCACTCATTAAATTTATTAAACCAATATTGGTTTCAACTAAAAAAAAACTCAAAGATTCTATATAAAATTATGCAGATTTGTGTTTTGCATTCTCCTCCTGCAGCATTCTCTGTTGATTTTTATTCCTGACATTAGCCAGATAGCTCCTGGTGCCTCCGCCGCCGTGCAAATCAGCCTCTTCTTCTATAACCGAACGAGCATCGAATAAATTATTATCATAATCATTATCAGTCACTTCTGGTTGGTTGTCGTTTTCACCATCAATGGACGACTGCTGAAAAAAATAAAAAGTTGAACCAAATGTTATCAAATCCAATTTGTGTGTGAAGTACAATTTTGTTACGTAACCAGTGGGTGCGTTAGTAAACGCTGTAATGGGTCTGTTACGTAAAAGTCGTTTACCAAAATGGGACTTCCTCCCTTCAGATAATTATTAACGTTTTCCTTAGTGAGAAAATATCTCGATTCGCCCACTACGTTTGCTGGTTCGAAAAGATCCGGATCGGCGAAGCGTTTTGGTAACAATTTAACAGGATTTTCGTGTATATCCTCATCGTCCATTGTCGGGTCCCTCTGGAGAAAAAATACATTGATATTGCTATTTATACATATGAAATTTTATAATCAGTTGTTTGAAATGTCGATAATTATTGTGTAATACTAGCTGTAACCGTGATTGAATGTTGAGTTTTAATAAATGCATCATCGAGTGAAACATCTCGTTCAGCATCACTTATAAGTTTTGACTTTCAGTAAATGTACTGTGAAAACCAAGCACATACGACATAACAAACAGCCAACTATTGAAATGTGTTCTGAAATATATTCAAACTAGTGGTGTATGACAACAAAATCTTGAGTTAATAGATTAATAACTATTTTCACCGACCAGAAATTTATTTTTAATTAAGTTAGCTCTTATTTCCGTACTTTGAACAAGTTTCAATAAACTTCAGGCAGTTTTAATATTCTTGTTTTGCCGGGTACACGAATTTTAGTATGTTATTTTTTCAAAGTTTGTAACGTCTTCGATGTCTTTTATAAAACTAGATGATTTTTTCTCGAGACCCACAACACCCTACAGTTCTGTGTTCTTATTCGTAATTCATGAATTTGAAACCCGAAATCCAACCCAACCAGAACATATATACACTACAGAATGGAGTTAATCAAAATGTCTTCTGAAATAAATGACTTATGGATTCAGTGGTCAAAAAAAAATTTCGTTTCACAGTGGCAATTTTTATTTTTTTGGAAAATTATTATAATCATAAAAAGTTATGATTATACCAAGTTCTTTCCCACTAATATCTCAGTTTTTTCAAAAAGTGGAGTTAGTCGATGTGTGCACTGAGCGGCTCATATCTGAGCAAATCAAATGTAAATCATAAATCAATTTATCTCCAGAACATTAACAATCGTCATTACATTTCCAATTCAATTTCAAAACAAATAGTTGCCTAATTTACACAAAATTGAATTGAAGTGCTCTCGCATAGTCACAGTCTAAACGCATTTGCAAATAATTCTGTGCGACATTTTCACTTATACTTTGCTTAGCTTGGCGGCATTTTCACATTTTTCAATACTTTTCACATAACAGTCTAAAGCGTCTAAACGCACTCGGGTAAACATTTGTACCGGAGTGGCGCTTAGACTGAGCTTAGCCTAGGTAATTTTTTGAATTTTTGAATTTTTATAATCCAAAATTACAAAAATATTTATTTATTTTTATATTTTCATTTAGATCATTCAAATCGGTCGCTTAGTTCTCTCAAAAACTGCCATTTTTTGCACTAGACCTGCCTTTGCCAAAAACTAATCACCTCTTCTCCCAATCATTACAAATTGAATGTTTTTTAGATCATTCAAATTCGATACTGTATATACAATTTTTTTTCTAAAATTCAGGTAAAAAATAAATATACGCGATACCCTACTATTTATCCCATCTCTCCACATGCAATATTTCGTGATTTTTTATCAAACTTTCCCACCCCCGTTTTTAAGCGTGATTAATAAATTTTTAGATTCTATGGATCAAAATAAGATACTTTGCTGAAGACACCATATCTCTAAATTGAATTATGATGTCCCGTGCATTGACCCAAGAATTGGGTGTAATTTTGAAAAATCCTGTTTTGGCTCATGTAGAGCGCCTCAATAATGTCCAAATGTATGACCGACCCCCAGTAACTTTGGAAGGCCGATCTAGCCATGCCCATGGTTAACCCTTGGGACCTCCCCTTAGAGGTCTTAGATACAAAAATTGCAAAAAATCATCGTTATTTTGATCCCTAGAATCCAAAAATTCTGATTAATTAAAGTGATTATTAGCAAAACAACGTTTGCCGGGTCAGCTAGTATATATATATATATAATATTTTATTACTGACTTACATTGTCATCGTTTTGAGGATATTCGACGCCGTCCCTCTTCAATACCATACGCCTCTCTCTGTCGGCCTTTGGTAAAGAATCACTTTCTATATCAAAATTTCCACTTTCGAAAGCTGCATCGATATCAAACTGCAATGATAGATCGATTTTAATTTTTGAAAATTTGTCAACTGTCTCCTTTTACCTCATAGGTGAAATGAAAAGGGACAGCCGGGGGGCAAAAAGGTCCACCAATTAACTTCCTTATCCTTACGTTCCAAAGGTTTCTGAACATTTTGGCATACCATAGAAAAAATGGATGCGGTGTGTGTATGTGTGTGTATGGATACAATTTTTCGTCCACGATTTTGGATTAACCGACTTAAAAAATTCAAAATATTTTCAATTCCTATTGCTCAGGAGAGGTGCTCATTAGTGCAGAAAATAAAATTGAAGTTTGTGAGAGAACGGAGCGTCCGATTTGTATATTTCAACTAGTGGTACATGGCATTGTGCCTTAACCCTCTAACCCGAGTTTTTGATAGAGCCAGTAAAAAAAGTCAGAACAATTTTTTCTAGACTAATTTGACCATAACAAACACTTCTGCATCATTAGATTTTCATTTTGACTTACCGTTTAGCTACCAGGTACAAAAAGGTGAAGATTACTTCAAAGTAATCTTGACGGGTTCAGTGAAAAATTTGATACAGGTAGATATTTTTATTCTGTATGGTATTTATTGAAAAAAGTGAATAAAAGAACAATGGAATGTAGTAGAAATTAATTATTTTTTGTTATGATATTTTACGCCGCCCATATGTTTGTTATATTCGCTAATGATTTCGGGGCAATCGATGTCAATGCGGCCTTGCTTGCGAACAAATCGGCTGGCTTTTCGTGGTTGTTTGATTGGATTTGTCAAACTGGTTTGAAATGGTTTCACACCAACATACGTCGATGCCAAACGAACGACTTTGTTGTCTTTTCACAATACAGTAGTTAGATCAACGCCATATGAGGATGCCACATATTCCTCAGAATATCCTCTTGGTTTATCTTTGATGGCTGTTTCCAAACTCAGCTTACAACCAGGCACTCTGTTCACTCGTATCGTACCAAGACTGAAAATTCCACGAGCGCGCAAATACACCAACAGAGGCAAACTTGTATAAAAGTTGTCGAAGTATACAATGTGATTTGCCATATCCGGGATGGTTTGAGACAATCGCATGACAACATTCGCCGAAGCACCAAGATTTGGATGGCCATCTACGAGTTTGTTGTCTCCAGCGCCATTGTAAACTTCGAACCGATAAGCAAATCCAGATGAGTCACATAGAACGAATAATTTCATGCCCCATTTGTGTGGCTTATTGGGCATATACTGCCGCAAATGGTGCACCATCTTATTGCATTAAAAAAAAAATCGACCCCAACACGTTTTTCATGTAACAAAAGAGATAAACAAGAAAATGTGCGATAAACGGTAAAAACGCGTTGGGAAAAAAAAAACACTGAATCCGGCAAGATTACTTTGAAGTAACCTCTGTTTTTCCCTTCAAAATACCGAAAAAAAATTTTTTTTCACAATAAAATATATAATAATTGAAAGGGGGATTACTTACCAACAAAATAAAAAAATTCCGATGTCGAAATAATGATTGGTTCAAAAAATATTTGGCACAAAAAACACAATTTTTTTTTTCACTAAATTTGATGCTTCCTTCTCGAAAGCTCGCACTATTATGACTATACTTCAAATGATGTTGGTGTCTGAAGAAGAAATGTCAAATAAAGTACGAGGGACAAGTTCATGCTTATTTGCATGTGATTATGTTGTCATACGGTTATAAATTAAAGCAAAACATGAAGATTACTTCAAAGTAATCTTCCGGGTTAGAGGGTTAAGGCAATTTGCTGGAACTTTCCGTACCAAAAATTAAAATCTTCATTTTTGAAAATTTTGAAAAAATACACAATGCCATGCAACACTAGTTGGGGGCCATCCATTAATCACATGATCAATTTTTAAGAATTTTTGTACTCCTTCCTTCCTTCCCGATGATATTTAAAATTACCCCTCCTCACTCACATTTAGTACTTATATTTTCAGTATCTAGAAATAACGTTAAATTAACACGGGTAAGTTATAGTAATGGTCCGAAAATCGAAAATGAAAATTTTTGCATTTCTCGACGTTTTCAAGGTTTCTGAACATTTACAGGCATACCTCAGAAACTAAATGGATGTGTGTGTGTTTAGTATTGACAAAACAATTGCTTTTGAGGACAAAAAATTATTACATCTTTTTTATTTTTCATAAAATATTTTTGTAATTTTGGATTAAAAATTCACAAAATTACCCAGGCTAAGCACAGTCTAAGCGCCACTCTGGTACAAATGTTTACCCAAGTGCGTTTAGACTGTTTATCTACTTAGAGCACTTTTCCAATTTTGTGAAAAATGTGAAAATGCCGCCAAGCTAAGCGCAGTATAAGCGAAAATGTCGCACAGAATTATTTGCAAATGCGTTTAGACTGTGACTATAGGGAGCACTTTTTCAATTTTGTGCAAATTAAGCAACTATTTTTTTAAATTGAATTCGAAATGAAATGACGATTGTTAATGTTCTGGAGATAAATTGATTCATGATTTACATTTGATTTGTTCAGATATAACAAGATAGCAAAAATAATAAAAGTTACAGTATTTGTAATAATATATTTGAAAACGTTTAAAATTTCTTGAATATTTCATTACAGTACGCGAAGTTCCAACAATTTGCCTTAAAGCACGATGCCATACACCACAAGTTTCGTTTAGCAATGTCACCAGATTTAAGGCGATAGTCGGTTACATTTTAAAATAGCATCGGTGGACCTTTAAGCCCCGCTCTACCCTAATAAATATTAAATATCATTACCTCACTAGCAGGATCATAGTTAGTCTTCCCATTTTCAAGCAAAGGCATCAGCCGCTGCACAAACCTAACGTCCTCCCGGTTCAAATCTCTGATGGCTCTCTCCATAGTCAGCAAATCGCCTCTCCTTAAAATTAAAATAAATAAATTAAAAATTCCAAAAGTAAAACCAATTTAGACATAATTAACAGGATTGACATTAATTAACAGGTGGATCAATTATCACCTGTATCCTGAGGACAGTATAGCATTCTGTATGGCATCCTGAGACTCGTCGTCATAAAAAGTGGCTCTCTTCACCATCGAAGGTTCATCATAAATATCACCTAAACCATATCTATAATCGATTGCCGATTCGTCATTGTTCGGCATGTAATCGCCGATTACCGGTTCTTCACTACCATAATTCATCAGTCTTAATTTTTCTAACTGAAGTTGATATTCTGGGTCGTTCGTCTCCACGTTAAAGATGTTATGGGAGTTACCACGTCTGGTGAAAAAAGAACAATGTTTTTGATGAAACAATTAACAGGTTTTAAAAAAAACGGTTTTTGGCGAAAATTATGGAATTCGGAAACCGGTTTTTAGTGAAAAAAGTCGGTTTTCACTGTATAAATGGAAAATATAGCCAAATATGAAACATAGATGAAAGCGTTTTGATTCTTGAAATCATATCGGTTCAACAGCATATGGAATCTTATCTATTATTATATTTTTATATATCTATATCTTATTTTTTATGTTTGAGTAGAGGAAGTTACTTCCTCAAGAAGAAATCATACTGATTTAAATTAATATATACACTGGTATAAAAATCTAAATCTAAATATACAAAACCTTTCTGAAAACCATTGCAGGCTGATAAGATTCCAAAATTAATTTTAATTTGAAAATTTGCTTTATTTGACTTAAATACATAAATTGATTTTTACATAAAGATTCATTCCTAGAATAAGTGTATACAAATTTTTTTTTTTTTTTTTTATTAACTTTCAAAAATAGCAATCAGAACGGGTTACAATTCTATAAGCATACAAAATTTGAATCTTTATGTAAAAATCAATTTATGTATTTAAGTCAAATGCAAATTTTCAAATTAAAATTAATTTTGGAATCTTATCAGTCTGCAATGGTTCCCAGAAAGGTTTTGTATATATTAATTTATATTTTTATACCAGTGTATATATTAATTTAAATCAGTGTGATTTCTTCTTGAGGAAGTAACTTCCTCTACTCAAACTTTAAAAAAAAAGAGTTTTAAACCCTACAAGCAACAAATAAAAGAACAAAAAACATAGAATTATTATATGAAAAATTAAAAACAATTAAGCATAATTTGGTCGCAAGTATGAGAGTATTTTCTATTTCATAAATTTGTGTGAGTAAATAAAAGACACGTCTAAGCAGCAATTCAATAGACGTTCTCAGTTTTTTTGAAATTATATTTTATTAAACAAAAAAACAATTAGAATGTTTAAAATAATTAATTAAAATTGCTCGGAAAAGACAATACCCGAGTTTAGCTTAATTGTTTTTAAAACTAAAATTGATATTAACAAGTATCTATCAACATGTATCTAATCTTTTATTTTAAATTTAATGAATGTTTTTTATTTAAAAATGTATTATTTTTATTTATTCGAAAACTTTCCTTTCACTATCATAAAAATATTTTCATTCTCACATGTGAAAATGATGCATAAATAACGAATAATTATTTTCAAGATAAACTATTATAGTTATTTAATCAAGATAAACTATTATTTTTTTGTTTCACTAATTAAAATTAAATTGATTTTCTTTACTATCTACAAAATTGAACAATAAATAAATTAAAAATACTGCTCTAAATCGCACTAAATTTGCGGATAAATTACGGAATATTCGAGCAAAAATTTATTTTTTATATTAAATTTGAGAACCGGTTAAAACCGGTTTTTTGGTAAAATTAAAATTCGAAAACCGGTTTTCTGAAATGTCGGATTTTGTATAAAATCTAGTGCTGATCGTTTGAATCAGTGACTATTACCTGGTGTGTACTGGCAGAATCTTGTCAGGAAATTTTGTGTTTGCAATTGGTTTGAACACTTTCGAGTAATCATACGTGTCACGTTTGCTTTCCGGGATAATATAGGGGTTATTCTGGACTTTTTTAGCTTTTGCCTTGGCTGAAAAATAATTAAAATAACTAGTTGATTTGGTATTTTGCCTTGAAGCAAGTTACATGAACTTCCCGATACGTGTAATTCATCAACTTAATCAATAAAAACTGAATTAATTTGTGAGTGATTAAAAGTATTCCGAGTGGATTCATTACACATCATTGAAAACGAACGAACACTTTGACTCTGAGTATTTTCTAAAAGCAAATTTTCAAAAATCAATCATTTTTTTATAATTGAACCAGTTTCCATAGGACTTTAATGGTTCAGTGCGTTCATTCAAAAAAACTACTCATTTTCTCAAACTTTGATGAATTTTTAAAACTTAACGACTTGTCAGGAATCAGAATTAAAAGAGTTATAATCCAATTAATGCGGGGGTGGTTCGAAATGCAAATTGTTTTCACTTCTGAACTTTAGATTAAGATTAGCTGGGCATACGCTTTTTTCCTCTCCATTTACTGCAATAATTTTGTTGATCGTAGGTTGAATAGAGCACGTGTGAACAGGATTTGACAAATTAATTCACTTCAAATATGAATTTAAGTAATAATGTATAATGAATTATAGGTGAGAAAAATGTAATTTATATATTAAAATTACTAAAAGCCAGTTAAAATATGGTATGAAATTATAAAAATTATAGGCAACTTTATTGAAGCAATTATTTTGGGTAGAAATTCCAAGGTGATATTGTATTGTATCTTTGCCGCGAATGCTATATATTAATACTTTCTGAATTTGTTATACTTTTTAAAAGACTTCAGTCTTCAACACGTGTATCTTATGACCATATATCACGAAAGCAGACGATGATTTTTTGTGTGATAAATTTGAAAAATCAATGTTTTAGTCGTGAATAAACAAAAAATCATTTATCTATACATCCACATCTACAGGTATGACTAAAATTATTGGATAACCCTTGGCATTAAAATAAATTGAGCTATTGGAAATAAATTTACAGTGTATTATTTTGTATTTTCTGCACTCTTCGCTCCGTATCTCCGTAACGGCTGCACCTACCTTTCCCAAAAACTAACCAACACATCTCCCTATCAATAGGGATCGAATGTGTTTTAAACCATTCAAATCGGTTGATCCGTGCGCCCGAAAACGTGGCCGAAAATTTGTATCCATACATACATACACACACAAACACACACACATCCATTTTTTCTGAGGTATGCCAGTAAAATGTTCAGAAACATTCAAAACGTAGAGAAATGCAAAAAATTTTATTTTCGATTTTCGGCCCATTACTATAACTACCCTACGGGAAGTTAACAATTTTACGATAACAATTCTCTCACCTTTAGCTCTAAGAAGCTTCTTCTCATTTTTTTTCCTCCGTTCTTCAAACTCTCTCTGCAACACATCCAGTCGTCTATTCGTGCCAATATCCTGACGATTGATGTAACCTTCAACATTCATATCCTTGTCAGGCTCATCATCAATTCTATTATTAGTCTCCAGAGGAGTCAAATCGATAACGTTAGAATGAGACCTAGAAATAATAACTAGTTGGTATTGGTATTTTGCCTTGAGGCAAGTTACATGAACTTCCCGATATGTGTAAATAATCGACTTAATTCATGATAGATAAATTAATTTATGAGTAGTTAAAAGTATTCCGAGTGGATTTATTACACATAATTGCTAACGAACGAACACGTTAACCCGGAGTATTTTTTAAAAGCAAATTTTCACAAATCAGTAATTTTTATAATTGAACCAATTTCCGTAGGACTTTAATAGTGCAGTGTATTCATTAAGACCAAATACTCTATCGTTATACCAAGTAAATCGTCTAATTTTAATTTTAACAAACGTCAAAAAAAAACTACTCATTTTTTCTAACTTTGATGAATTTTTACAATTAAACTATTTCTCATAAGGCCGTAATATTTCAATAAGTTCTATAAGTATATATTGCTAAAAAAAAGTTCCATAGCAATCGGCTTAATTTTTTTTTCAACAGTTAATTACAAGTAAACGGATCGGCAGATTTTTACCTAAAACTAATCAATATCATTCTTAGCTAATATCTTTCGAACAGTTTTTGATTTTTTTAAATCGATTCGGTAGTATGAGCTCAAATGTGGACGAAAATTTTAAGACTTTTTTTTTAAATTACAAAGAAACGGCTCGGCCGATCGTCGCACAAAACTGACAAACAATAATCCTCATCGAGAAACATCAAATGGTTTATAAATTTCTGAAATCGGTTCAGGCGTTTTTGAGCAAACGTCGATGAAATGTCTAATTTTGACAAATGCCAGAAAAACGACATTAATTTTTGCAAACTTTGACGAATTTTCAAAGCTAAACCAATTGTCGTAGGGCCGTAATATTTTAGTATGATCTAGAAGACTATGGTATCTATCACCAAAAAAAATTAATAAAAACCGCCAAAAATTTTTTTTTAACACTTTATTACGAGAAAACAGCCTGGCAGATCTTCACCAAAAACTAATCAGCACGATTCCCAATCAATATCTTTCGAACGGGTTTTGAATTTTCATAATCGATTCAGAATTCCGGGCTAAAACGTGGACGAAAATTTTTTCACTCAAAAAGAAACGGTTGGGCCGATCGTTGCACAAAATTGATAAACGCGATAGATACATCGAATGGCTTTCAAATTTTTGAGAAAACGTCGATTTACGGCAAAAAATCTGTTCACACACACACACACACACATACTTTTTCCAAATTTGATTTCATTCGATTCAGAATGGCTTGAAACGTCGAGAAAACAAACTTCTCATTCGGGAAGTTAATAACCGGTAATGATCAAACAATGAATGGATAAATTACATATGTTTAATATGGATCTAACCAACCTCTTACGATTTCTATGACGTTTTATCTTGCGATTCCTATTCTTGGCTTGTAGTATTTCGATGGTTTTGTGCTTACCACCAGTCGGACTTCCTTCGTTAGGCTTTTCTTTCAACTCCGCCTTGTCTTCCTTAATTGTTGTGTTGGACGTTTCCGTGCTAGGTTCCGTCACCTGAACTTCCTTTCCATCCTCAGTTTTCTTCTCCAGGGCATCTTCACCATCCTCAGTTTTCTTCTCCAGAGCATCTTCACCATCCTCAGTTTTCTTCTCCGGAGCATCTTCACCATCCTCAGTTTTCTTCTCCAGAGCATCTTCACCATCCTCAGTTTTCTTCTCCAGAGCATCTTCACCATCCTCCGTCTTGACAGTTGTGACCTCCGGAATATCTGCTACAAAACTTAAAATATCCTTTTCATCGGCCTTAGGCTCGGCAGGTTGTGTCGTCGGAGCTTCCTCGTCGCCCTGTTGGTAGTGTTAGAAGAGAACGATAGTATCGATACTGAGTAAGTATCGATACTTTGACTTCGATACTGGGTACTTTTGGAATCGATTCTTCAGCACGATTCTTTTGGCGGTATCGATACTTTGCGCCGATTCTACTCAAAAAGAATCGGCTATATTTTTGACCCCAACAAAAATTCGACCGCATTTTATAAACAACACTCATTCTATTTTGTCGCGGCGAAACCTCTCTTCATAGATAACGAACGAAACAAGCGATAAGTCGAGTGCGATATGGTTTTTGTTAAAGAAAATGTTTATGAATGCCCCTAGTTCGAAGCCAATGATTAACAATAAATAAAAGAATTAGAGTTTAAGATTACGTACGTCGATAATATAATTTCTGTTACCTCCGAGAACATATGTTTATCAATGATAATAAATTTTGTATATTGTATGCAAAAACCTTGTTATCTGCGAAATTGTCACGCAACCAACTTTGGTTAAATAATTTATTAGGACATTCGATTTCCGATTCTAATTTTTAAAGCCGATACTTGTTTTTTCTAAAATAAATACTATTTTATAATCGCTAAGTATTTCCATTAAAATTATTAAAATTCCCATTCTAATATTTAAAGCCGATACTTGTTTTTTCTAAAATAAATACTATTTTATAATCGCTAAGTATTTCCATTAAAATTATTATAATTCCCATTCTAATATTTAAAGCCGATACTTGTTTTTTTCTAAAATAAATACTATTTTATAATCGCTAAGTTTTTTAAAGCCGATACTTGTTTTTTCTAAAATAAATACTATTTTATAATCGCTAAGTATTTCCATTAAAATTATTATAATTCCCATTTTAATATTTAAAGCCGATACTTGTTTTTTCTAAAATAAATAGTAATTTATAATCGCTAAGTATCCCTAAAACAATACTATTTTTTAATTAATGAGTATTTTTCTTTGTGATATAAATTAGCCGATACTAAATTCATAAATGAATACTTTTGTCACAAAACAATACTTTTTTTAATTAATGAGTATTTTTCTTTATAATATAAATTAGCCAATACTAAATTCATAAATGAATACTTTTGTCACAAAACAATACTATTTTTTAATTAATGAGTATTTTTCTTTATGATATAAATTAGCCGATACTAAATTCATAAATGAATTACTTTTGTCACAAAACAATACTTTTTTTAATTAATGAGCATTTTTCTTCTTGATATAAATCGAATTTGAAATTAGTATCGAAAAATTATTGTTTTGAACTTCTCAAAATTTTGAAAATGATGCTGATTTAACAGCATCAAATACAGGCAATAGAATTTATCATAATATTGTAATTCGATCTGTAGAGAGTTTTAGATCTCTCTTGCACTTATAGTAGAAGAGCCAGTGAACTATTTGACTAACCTGTTTTCTCAAAGCTAGAATTTTTTTTAATGATATTTTATTATCGGCCCATTAAGAAAGTACCATTCTGGCAGTCATTCCGCGATTGCGTCATCATCCCTTCAATTTGTGAAAATGTAAAAAAAAATTTTTTTATAACTTGCTCGCACAAGGCTCAAATTTTGAGGGTGTCTTCTTTTAACTGTTCAGAAAGCATATGTAAAAAGCCAGCCCATTCTGACGGTTGCAAGGGTCTGCCAGACGAGTACATATTTGACTAATACCCTTGTATTTGAATAATTTATATACCATTTTGAAGGTCATTTTGAAAACATCCGTTATACCAAACTTCAACTTTGTATCTCACCTTATGGCCGAGATATCATTGAAAATATGCCAAAGTGGCCCCTTTTACAAACTCAATTTTTGGCGTAACCATAAAAGATATAGAAAAAAAATTACGTGATTCTACTCATATTGGCTTAAACCACATAATGTATAGTAATATATGCTAAATAATCCTTTATTATTAGCTAAAAAGGATAAAATAATTTTTCAATTAATGTTTTCGGATAGTGCGTTTTGTTTAATTACTTTATTATTAGCGTTATTTAAAAGCTTATTGTTTTCTCTTTTAGTACTGCAAATATGGTTTAAATCAAATTTGTGGAACACATTGAAAAATTGAAGAAACCAGAACCAGTACACCCGCGCGTAACGCTAATTGGTTCGATCGGGTTATAAAAAAAATTTTTTTTACATTTTCACAAATTGAAGGGATGATGACGCAACCGCGGAATGACTGCCAGAATGGTACTTTCTTAACGGGCCGATAATAAAATATCATTAAAAAAAATTCTGGCTTTGAGAAAACAGGTTAGTCAAATAGTTCACTGGCGCTTGGACTATTATGTTTGATTTTGGTGAAAAGTACTCAATATTAGCGATACTGAGTAGCAGGGCCGGTCCTGCCTTGCATGCAATGCATGCAAAAAATGCGGGCGCACGCCTTAGGGGGCGCCAACACTAGTTTCGGAAATTAAATTTATAATATAATATTAATAATTATTTATATAAAATCTAGAATTAATTATATAAAACCTAGAATACTTAATAAATTATAATAAACAATCTAACTTAACTAGGGATACGAAGGCACAAAAAGCATATTTATTTTGCAATGTGATAGACTTAACTAGAGACAATTAATCGATTAATAACTCTGCAAATTAATAAATAACAGCTCTGTTTATTGCTTAATCTACTTATTCATTTTTTTTTGTTTGAAGTTACCGTGGAATCAAAAAAGAAATTATCTAGTTTTCAATCCCATAAGCGCAAACCTGCGAAATTTTAAATTAATTATTGGGCATTATTGACGAAAAATTGCGAGCTGATTTAGTTAATACGGAACTTGTTAAAAATATAAATAAATTATAATCGGGGAGTCAGAGCTTTGATGGCATGTTTATTCCGAGAAATTGAATTGTAACTTTTGCTTTTGTTGCAAATGTTTCGTATCTGATGAATTTTGAATGTTGAAGATATGCGTGGTTAGGGTTATGGAAATAGAACAAATATGAAAAATGGAGGCAAAATTTACTTTGGAACGGAAATCTTAAGGCTTTTTTTATACCTAGTGATGTCCATACTCTGAATTTTTAACTAGGCAGAAATAATACATATCAAATATGATAAGTTTTTTTTCAATATAGTTTAAGAAATGTGTAATTTCTTTGCAGTTTTTACTGATTTTTGGACAATACTTCTAAAATACTTTAAAAATTTAACTTTAAAATAACAAACTGATACTCTAAATATGATGGAAAAGCAAGGATGAATACCATTTGGCTCTTACAATATCAATAAGGAGAAGTTTACGACGCAATTTTGGATATTGTAAATGATGAAAAATTAAATTAAATTAAATTTTAAAAAATCCAACATAAAATACGAGTGTTATGATTGAAAATTGAAAGCTAGTTTTTTTAGCTCTCTTGGCATGATTTGCTCAATAGAATATATCGCATAATAAATAAGTAAAATGTTTTAAAACCCAAATATTATAATTGCACATACGTTAAAAATAATTGAAAATTTAAAATTATTTGATTATAATCAATCCGCGAATCGCCTCGATTTTCTAAATAAATTTAAAATGAATATATCTTATACGCTTTTAGATTATATCTAATATATTGCGTACTAAATTCAGAATAATTAAAAATTATTTTTTTTAAATATGCAAATATTTGTATAATTTTAATGATAAACAGTTAAAATTAATAAGGGGGGGGGGCGCTAGAAAGAAAGTTGCATGCGGGCGCTAAGGACCCCAGGACCGGCCCTGCTGAGTAGTATCGATAGTTTCGCCACGATACTTTTTTTGGAATCGATACTTTGCCTCGATTCTTTTTTCAGTACTCGGTGGTATCGATACTTTGCCTCGATACTTCTAACACTACCTGTTGGTTGTCGTCGTTGTTTGAAAATTGGTCAAACGCCGTCGTAGCCTCCTCCTGTTCGATATCCTTGAGAATGTCCTCGTCGTCCGATGTTGTCTTGGTCTGCTGTGTGGCAGACATTGCCAAAATTCTCCTGACGTCGTCCATGTTCGGAGGATATGTCGATATGCGCTCCTTTCCGTACCGTTCGTTGATTAAGGCCTTCAGACGATTCAGACGGCGAACTTTCGCCAGGTCGACCTTTGGACGAGGCTCTGAAATAAAAGTGATAAACGGTAATAGTTTTAAGAAAACAGAAAAGGCACCGTGCCTTAAGGCAAATTGCTTGAACTTCCCGTACCATAATAGAATATTCGAGGAATATTAAGGGACCGATTCTGCCGCAATGTTATGATAAGGTCATGTTATGAAGAATTTTCCATAGTAATATAGACAAAAGTTATGCGGTTGGTGTTCAGTCAGGCGAATTTCTCAGGTTTTTTGATGCAAAACATAACCTAAAAGCCGCACAAATGTCAAAAAAACGATGTTAGATAAGTGTGTGTTTCTGATTCCTCTTAGATAACATACGAGTGACGTTGCAGTTTATGCTTAAAACGCCGGAATGAACAGCAAATACATGATATTTTGACAGCATTCAGTATGATTCATTCGCATAATGTATGGAGGTCGGAGCGTAACTTAGCTATGCCGTAACATTTCTCTGTTATGCGCAGAATCGGTCCATAAATGTTTTCAAATAGATTATTATAAATATTGTAACTTATATATGTTTACAGAAAAATAAATAAACAAAACTTAATCAATCGGATTTAAAATGAACGGGGCGTTATATTATCTAACGGGGCGTCTATTAATCACGTGAGAAAGTTTTTAGGAATTTTTGTACCCCCGCTCCCCCTTGGTGATACATGGTGATATTCAAAATTACCCCCCCTCCCCCACCAAACATCAAGTGTATTTTTAATTATGTGATGAAACTAATATTTTTGATTTTTTTTTTGAAAACGTTCTAATTTATTTAAAAAAATCCGTCAAAAAATAAATACACGTGATATCTTACTATATCCCTCCTTACGCCACGTGATATTTCGTGATTTTTTGTCAAACGCCCCCCCCCCTCTCTCTAAAAGCCTCACGGGATTAATGGACGCCCCCTAATATTTATAAGAATTATATAAATTGGATGCAAAATTTTATTCGAAGTATATTAGAAGGGTTTAGAACTTTAGCCAGAAATAAAATTAAAATCCGAATTATTTTCGATATTCAAAAAAAAATAATTTCGTGAAAAACAAAAAAAAAATTTTCAGTATTTTTCCAAAAGCTATCGTTTCATCAACACAAGCAGAAACTTTTTGAATCAAATCAGATGTTGAGTTCTTTCAAAAACTGCCATTTTTTGCACATTTTACTCGGTATCTCCGAAACGACTGGACCTGCATTGGCCAAAAACTAATAACCACTTCTCCTTATCATTACAAATTGAATGTTTTTCGAAACATTCAAATCGGATGCTCCAAGTTCTCAAAAACTCGATTTCTATTTTCTGCACTCTTTGCTCTTTATCTCCGAAACGGCTGGACCTGCCTTTGCTAAAAACTAATCAGCACATCTCCTTATCAATAGAAATCGAAATTTTTTGAACCATTCAAATCGGTTGATCCGTGCGCCCGAAAACAAAAAATGCGGACATACAAAACACACACACACACATCCATTTTTTCGGAGTTATGCCAAAATGCCCAGAAACTTCTGAAACGTGAAGATATGCAAAAATTTACATTTTCAATTATCGGCTCATTACTATAACTTACCCGTGTCATCTTCGTGAACTTCCCGTAAAGTAAAATCGAAATTATTTTTTTACATATCTTAACGTTTCAACTTCTTCTGAACATTTTGGCAAATTGTAAAAAGGGGATGTGTGTAAGGGATTCGATGGAGAGACGTGCTGATTATTTTTTGTCTAAGGCAGGTCCAACCGTTTCAAAGATATTGTGGGTAAAAAGTGCACAAAAAAGCAATTTAGTGTTTGAAAAAACGGATCACCCGATTATAATGATTCAAACATTTAATTTGTATTGACAAGAATTGTTTGAAAGGCAGTTTCACCGGTTTGGGAGATCAAAAAATAAGTAAAAAAAGCCATTTGGCTGGCAAAAATGAACATAAGATTATACGCATTAAATTATCAGATAGATAGATATTTTAATAATGAGTACAATATTTGTTAACATTTCTTAATAGTGTTAAAAGTTCAAATTTCTCAGTATAAATCTACTGGCTTCGATGATTCAAAAAATATTCAGTTCGTATTGGCGCTGGAACTTAATAGTTATTTTTTGCAAAAGGCAGGTCTAGCCATTACAAAGGTACAAAGAAAAGGTTGCAAATTACGTTCATGCATTTTGAGAGGACGGTTCATCCGATTAGAATGATTCAATTGCTTGTGTTGACGGTGTAGAGAAATGATTAGTTTTTGGGGAAAGGCAGGTCCGGCAGGTTCAAACTTTGGGCAAAACATCAAAATTTTCCAAAAAAAACTAATTTTGTAAAAATTTCAAAATAATTCTAGTTTGTTTAAATTTTCAAAACTCAAACAAATTTTCATAAACATGCAAAGTTTTGATTTAAATTTCAAATATTTAAATCACTTATATACTTGAACAAAATAATTGTATCTTAGCAAATTCTCTGTCTGCATTCTTATAAATAATTGTTGAACAAATTTAATTTTGGTGTTTACCAAAAACTAATCAGCAAGATTCCTAACTTTTGACGTGAAAACGTGGACAAAAATTTTACAAAGAAACGGCTTGACTGATCGTCGCACAAACGTTAGTCCTCATCGAGATACATCGAATGGCTTTTAAATTTTTGAAAACGTCGATTTACGGTAAAAAATCTGTTCACACACACGCACATACACTTACTTTTTAAAATGTTGGTCTCATTCGTTTCAGAATGGCTTGAAAAATGGAAAAAACATAAAATTAGCAAAGAAAGCGTCCATTAATCACGTGAGTTTCTTAGAGGGAAGGAGGATATAGTAAAACATCAGGTGTATTTATTTTTTACCTGATTTAAAAAAAAAAAACAAAAATTTTTAAAAAAAAAAATCAAAAGTTTTACCATTTTTCCCGTAACTAAAAATCCTTAAAAAGTTGATCACGTGATTAATGGACACGGCCAAATTGAATTTTTGGACAAAAACATAAACTTCACCTTTGAAAAGTTACCAAACGCTATTAATTTTTGTAGTAAATATTTTTTATTACGGTACGGAAAGTTCCAGCAATTGACCGTATAAGTTATATTCTTTCTACTAACTTTTTTTAGGGTTTGGATCATTCAAAACCACCGAAGTGCACTTCTCCATAACTCTTGTATCTTTTGGATATGTATTGCACGTATACAGGAGAGCATGGCAGGGACCTCCCTAAAAACAAACATTATATAAAAATTCCCTTCCGGGAAGGGTATGGGCGTGTTTCCATACAAAATTGGTTCACCAGAAAATCCGATATACCAAATTTCAAATCCGTAGCTCATCATCTGGCCGAGATATCATTGAAAATATGTGAAAGTGGCCCCTTTTTTCAAAGTCGTTTTTTGTTGCAACTGTAAAAGATATCGACAAACAAATAACGGTGCTCTATTCACATCGGTGTGTACTAAATTATTAATAATAAATATTGTTTAATAATTATTTTTTAGTGCATGAAAAAGTGAAAATATTTTTTCGTTTTGAATTTTCGGATAGTGCAGTTGTTTGGACTAATTTTTAATTAGCATCGTTAGAAAGGCTATTGAATTTTCTTTTAGTGTGCAAAATTTTGTTTCATTTCATGTGGTAGAACACATTCAAAAGTAGAACTAGATGGTAATGGTATTTAGCCTTGAGGCAAGTTACATGAACTTCCCGAAAAGTGTAAATAATCGACTTAATCAATAAAAAATAAATTAATTTATGAGTGATTAAAAGTATTCCGAGTGAATTTATTATACATAATTGAAAACGAACGAACACGTTAACTCGGAGTATTTTCTTGAAGCAAATTTTCAAGGACTTTAATGGTTTAGTATGTTTAATAAGACCAAGTACTCTATCATTATACCGAGTTAATCGTCTAATTTTAATTTTAACAAACGTCAAAAAACTTCTCTTTTTCTCAAACTTTGATGAATTTTTAAAATTAAACTACTTGTCGTAAAACCGTAATATTTCAGTAAGTTCTATAAGACCACGATATATATGCCAAAAAAGTTCCATAAAAATCGGCTTAATTTTTTTTCAACAGTTAATTACAAGAAAACGGCTCGGTAGATTTTCACCTAAAACTGATCAGTATCATTCCCAACTAATCTTAAGTTTTTCATACCGTGAAATATATTAGTCAGAAGCTTACACGGCGAATGAAAATAATCAATAATAATAATTATTGTTTTATTCGGCGCGTTGGATTTTTTATTATGAATAATGAATATACTTATATACAAGATATAAATAAATTTTGGTTTTTAATAAATATTTCCTTACTTATATACATAATTTGTCGAGACGCGCGATAACGACGAGCCTTATACTCGCTCGTCGCTCTTGCAAAGCGACTTTATATGGGTGTTCTTGTACCGGCAGCGCGTGTACTAGCTTAAGTTTTTCCAACTTTTCTCCAAAAGTTCCACTTACATTTAAATGAATTTTTGAATTACAGAAGAAAAATGTACAGACTTTCGAATGATGCTAATGTAAAAGTAGTCAAAAGAGCCGCACTGGTAAAAAATAGAAAATAAAAAATCATTTTCACCTTTTCACGCACTAACAAATATTTTTTTCACATTATTTGTTATGAACAACATAGACAAGATCAGTATAAATAGAATGACGTTAACATTGTTTCGATATCTCTCATATAAGGTTGTCAAATATCTCCCTTCCGCCTTTTTGTATTATAAACCAAGAGCAAAAAAGCGGAAGGGAGATATTTGACAACCTAATATTTCCGACAAAAAGTGAGTTTGAAAAAAGGGGCCACTTTCACATGTTTTCACTGATATCTCGGCCAAACGATGAGCTACGGATTTGAAATTTGGTATTTCGAATTTTCTCGAAAATACCTATAAAATGGCATCAAAATTATTTAAATACCAGGGTGGGGCCAATTCTGTATGGAAACTCGCCCATACCCTTTGTTGTATCAATATCAAATCATTTTTACCACAAACGCTGTAAACGGGTCAGGGGTGGGTTTTGCAGTTGTCTCATTTGATAAAAGCTCTCTTGTAGAAGAAGTGGAAGCGTGTGAAGCTGATTTCGTACTCTTTGCCAAAGGCGCCTTCGTAGTAACTTTAGCAGCTCTCTTGTGTAACGATAAAGACGGCGGCGACGTCTCGGTGGTTGTTTTCGGGTGCGGATCTGTGTAAAATAACCAAAAACTAGTTGGTTTGGTATTTAGCCTTGAGGCAAGTTACATGAACTTCCCGATATGTGTAAATAATCGACTTAATCAATAAAAAATAAATTAATTTATGAGTAATTAGAAGTATTCCGAGTGGATTTATTATACATGATTGAAAACGATCGAACACTTTGACTCGGTGTATTTTCTAATAGCAAATTTTCAAAAATCACCAGTTTTTATAATTGAACCAGTTTCCATAGGACTTTAATGGTTTACTATGTTCATTACAACCAAGTGCTCTATCGTTATACCAAGTAAATCGTCTAATTTTAATTTTAACAAACGTCAAAAAAACTACTCATTTTCTTAATCTTTGATTAATCTTTAAAATTAAACTACTTGTCGTAAGTCCGTGATATTACAGTAAGTTCTATAAGACCATGATATATATCGCCAAAAAAAGTTTCATGAAAATCGGCTTAAATTTTTTATTCAACAGTTAATTACAAGAAAACGGCTCGGTAGATTTTCACCTAAAACTAATCAGTATCATTCCCAACTAATGTCTTTCGAACTGTTTTTGATTTTTTTAAATCGATTCGGTAGTTTGAACTCAAATGTGGACGAAAAGTTTAACACTTTTTTTCAAATTATAAAGAAACGGTTCGGCAGATCGTCTCACAAAACTGACAAACGATAGTCCTCATTGAGATACATGAAATGGCTTTTAAATTTCTGAAATCGGTTCAGGCGTTTTTGAGAAAACGTCGATCAAAATTTAATTTTGTCAAATGTCAAAAAAACGATACTAATTATTGCAAACTTTGACGATTTTTCAAAGCTAAACGGCTTGTTATAGGGCCGTAATATTTTAGTATGATCTACAAGACTATGGTATCTACCGTCAAAAAAAAAAAATCATAAAAATCGTCGAAATTTTTTTTTTAACTTTATTACAAGAAAACGGCCCGGCCGATCTTTACCAAAGACTAATCAGCACGATTCCCAATCAATATCTATCGAACGGTTTTTGAATTTTCAAAATCGATTCAGAATTGCGGGCTAAAACGTGGACGAAAAATTTTTCACTTTTCTGCGATTTACAAAGAAACGGCCCGGCCGATCGTCGCACAAAACTTAGAAACGCTAGTCCTCATCGAGATACATCGAATGGCTTTTAAATTTTTGAAATCGGTCCAGCCGTTTTTTGAGAAAACGTCGATTTACGGCAAAAAATCTGTTCACATACACACGTACACACACATAGTTTTTCCTTAAATTTGGCCTCATCCGATTCAGAATGTCTTGAAACGCCCAGGAGAAAACATAAAATTAGCGAATAGGATTTTTTGATGAAAACATAAACTTCTCCTTCGGGAAGTTAAAAAAATCAGGATAAAACCAGACTCACCTAGATCAGGATAACACAAGTACCTGTTGTTTCGATAACTTCAATCCAAGGCCTCTCCTTGCCTTCATCCTGCACCAGTTCACTTAGGCCACTGTCATTGATGCTGGTCTTTTGTCCTTTTGACTCAAGGAGACGTTGTTTATCGGCTACCATCTATAATGTAGTAAACGAAGAGGAAAAAAGGGTTTAACACCACTGAATTTTTACTGTGTTTCGATTTGCATGAAATTTTGGAATTAGGTTCATCTTAAACGGCGGGGGGTTGCGACCCCATATGGGATCGTTCAAGTATTACGTCAGCAGATTTATTACAATCATTTACCCCCCCCCCATCTCCCTTGTCAGCAAAAGTAAGCAAAGCTCTTACCCCCTACCCCCATGCTTACGTAAACATTTTGCAATTAATGTAAAAAAATAAAAGTACTACCTATATATAATAATCATCATCCAGACTCCCCTGCCCCCCATGTCAACCCAAAATAAGCAAATCAACAACCCCCCCCCGCCCCCCTATAGTGCTTACGTAATACTTGAACGGCCCCTATGAATAAGTAGACATTGAACCATTTTATCACCAGAAAACGTTTTTATTATTATAGGATACAATTAAAAAATATCGTTTAATGCATTTACCTTGCAATAAAATCATTTTCAACCCTAAAACCCTTCCTCTAAATTGAAAAAAAAACACTTAAAAACAACTTTCGTATGATATAATAAAAATTACGTATAAAATAAATGATATTTTATGTTTTCTATATAGATTATCAAATTTTTAACTCTTTTTACACCCTTGAAAATAACCACTTAATGAAATTTTTTTTGCAAAAATCAGTTTGAAATTGAGAAATTCACAATATGTTCAACTTTTAAAACTACCCTTGAATAAAAACAGTTAATATATAATTATAATAATAATTTTGTATTATTATGATCAACATAATAATACAAAATTTTGTGGTTAGCTCCCCTCCCCCCCAAGATATATGCTAAGCCAATTAATTCATATTATTTCACAATATACGTTTTCATTATAAATACACATAAGCATATATAAAAACAACAACATAAAAACAATTAAAAAAATCCAAAACAGTTTAAAACTATGATAGCAGACCATATTTATACTTTAAAACACAATATAGAATTTTCTAACCCGACTGTACTACAATTCGAACAAAATTTATTCAAACGAAGAATTATAGAAAGATCTTTTTTAACTATTTACAGCAATAAAACAATAAATAAAAGGAATGAACTTAACACGCTGTGCGATACAAACCTCTTTTGTTTAGATAATATTTCCAAATTTCTCACAAAACAATAAAAACGACGCGCAAGTTATTCGCAATTCGTTCCACACATGTGTAGAATCTTGGTAAAAAATATTTTTTAAAATGTCCTTTCTCCAATATATCTTCAACCAGTCTACGAACAACACACTATCCAATTGTGATTTTTTAAATTATAGTATTTTGTGAAAATATTGTGTAATTACAAGTTTAATGTATATAATACATAGTGTAGTGCTTTACCATATCCTGATACCATGGATTATTAAAATTTTCCAATTTAACACTAAGATTAACTAATTGTAAGTACTATTTACTATTTTATTTTCTCTTTTCACTCCAATTCTTCAGTTTTAGTTTTAATTTTATTTTTAGTTTCCACTGTTCATTCAGTGGAAACTAAAGGCTAGGATTATAGCCGAAACGTATGGATTTAAAATAAATTTTGGAAAGAAATTCATGTTTTTTATTGATGTTATGCCCGATTACTAGACATGGTTTATATATATATATATATATATACTAGCAAACCCGACGAACTCCGTTTCGCCACCAGATGGTTTCGTGAGAAAGATGAAGAAATTTTTTGTTTGTTTTAAATTTGAAAAGAAAAAATTTAATTTTATTATACAACAGTAATGAATTTATTTCGATTACAAAAATGAAGTATTTTTTAGTTGAACTTCTCTAAGTAAATGAAAGTGAATCCATAATTAATTCGCAAATTTTCAACTAATTTTCTTAGCTATAAACGAAACGAAATCGTTTTGTGCGTTCTGGAGTTATATCGTCAGGAAGGAAAACCCGACTTATTTTTATATATATAGAAGATAATCTATTTGAAATTATTTAAAACAGTTATTGATTATTTTTATTACTCGAATTTTTAATTACGGTGCGGGAGTTCCAGCAGCTTGCATTAAGGCACGATGCCATGCACAACTAATTTTCTTAGCTATAAACCTTGCGGAGCCCGAGACCTTTCCAACGAATGCAAAATTGTCGAAATCGGTTCGTGCGTTCTGAAGTTATTTCGTCAGGAAGGAAAACCCGACTTATTTTTATATATATATAGAAGATATATATATATATATATATATATATATATGTATATGTCAATAATTTTGGGCACCAAATACTGCTTATTTACACATTGCTCGAAATATGGACACAATTCGACAAAAATGCGAATAATAACTCATAACTCTTTTAATTTTGACTCCATCACAATTTGTAATATACCATTTGAAAGGTTAATAAAGGGCTTAAACTTTTTTCATCATAATTTTTTTCGTAACTCCTCTCATTTTGAAACGGAAAACGGTTAAAGGGCTCGAGAGAGACTCTGATTGCACGGCCGCGCACTCTTTAAACAATCATAACTCTGTCAATTCTTGTGTAAAAGAAAAATAATAAAAAACAATTATAAGCCAGAAAGATCCCTTTGATTTTTATCTATATGGTTTCTCACGTATCTTATAGTCTTTTTGAGATATAATGAAAATAAGTTCGATTTTTAAAATAATCGGAGAAAAAAGTTTTTACAAAATTGTGAATTTTCTGAAAATAGTTTGTACTAAAGTAGTGAATCTGCTAAAATTCATCAAGATGTCTATAATGAAGTAAATTCTAGATGGAATGTGAATTACTTTAATTCTGGTGGAAATGGCGCTCATTAAACCATATGATTTAAAAGAAAAAAACATCGTACTCGTATATGCTTCTTATTTGCATGATAGCTCACTCATTTTACACGCAAAAAACTTGTAACAGCACTCATTTTAAAGCTTATGTTGAGCACTATAAAACCCAATTTTACCGAAATGCATAAAATGTAAAACCTCGCTACTAGATTGCTTTACATACAACAATTAAATCTTGAACGAAATAAAAAAAGACTTTGCTCTTTCAAATCTTGCTTTATATTATTCCTAGAACACTTTATAAAACACCGATTTATTAAGATTTTTATTGACATTATTTTGTTCATTACATGATTTTCGTTAAAATGTATATTTTAAGAGATATTTGCAAAAAATCGAAGAAAAACGCTAAAAGTATATGAATTTTTAGTGGCCAGTAACTTGAAAGTATTAGTTTTTTTGAAAAACTTTAAAAGACATTTTTTTCTTATAATAAGCTGTTCTATATATATCTGACGTTATTTTGGAAAGATAAAATTACACAACTGAGAAGGGGTGTCAAGCTTTCACTTTTGAACTTGAGGGTAAGATGCACCTAATTCCAAAATTTCATGAAATTCGGAGCACAGTAAAAAAAATTCAGGCCCAAAACGCTCCATTGACTGGAGTACAATCAGATCAGTTCAATTCAATTTTTTTATCAATAGTAACAGAAAAAAACCTTTGATCACCTTTGATACCAGATTTAGATTGGCCTGCTTGTTCATATTCTGGAACTTCCTGTAGTCGTCCATGCTTGCAAACCTTGGAGGATCACCAAACATGTGGGATTTCCTGAAATGTAAAAAATCAATTTATTAGCAATACAACTGAATATTCAAGAAATAGAGAGAAAGAGAGAGAATAAGAAATAACTAGTGGTGTATGGCATCGTGCCTTAAGGCAAATTGCTTGAACTTCCCGTACCGTAACGAAATGTTCGAGGAATATTAAACGTTTTCAAATATATTATTACAAATACTGTAACTTTCATTAGTTTTGCTATTTTTTGTTATATCTGAGCAAATCAAATGTGAATAATAAATAAATCAATTTATCTCCAGAACATTAACAATCGTCATTTCATTTCGAATTCAATTTAAAAAAAAAATAGTTGCCTAATTTGCACAAAATTGAAAAAGTGCTCCCGTATAGTCACAGTCTAAACGCATTTGCAAATAATTCTGTGCGACATTTTCACTTATACTGTACGTTTGTGGGCGGCATTTTCACATTTTTCAATAGTTTTCTCACCAAATTGGAAAAGTGTTCCAGTGCACAAACAGTCTAAACGCACTTGGGTAAACATTTGCACCAGAGTGGCGCTTAGACTGCGCTTAGCCTGGGTAATTTTTTGAATTTCTAATCCAAAATTACAAAAATATTTTATGGAAAATAAAAAAAGATGTAATAATTTTTTATCCTCAAAAGCAATTGTTTTGTCAATACAAGCAGAAAGTTTTTTACATCATTCAAATCGGACGCTTAGTTCACTCAAAAACTGCCATTTTTTGCACATTTAGCTCTGTATCTTCGAAATGACGGGACCTGTCTCTGCCAAAAACTAATCAGCACATCTCCCTATCAATAGGGATCGAATGTTTTTTAAACCATTCAAATCGGTTGATTCGTGTTCCCGAAATCGTCGACAAAAATGTGTCCGCACACACACACACACATACACACACACAGACATACATCCATTTTTTCTAAGGTATGCCAAAATGTTCAAAAACATTTTGATGTGTTTAGAATAATCAAATCGAATAAAATATTTATGAAGTAAAACTGTGAAGTGATTTAGATAAAAATTAATAATAATTATATGAAGTAATAAAAGTTGATTAAAGAAACTTACTGTAATATTTCACTTTGAGCATCGTGTATATTTTTTGCCACTTCATCGTATCTGAAAGAGGAAAAATTAATTAAAACCAAAAACATGATTAAAAAGTCATATACTCGATCGCAATTAATAGTTTGATACATTTTTATAAATTCAATATAAATTTTAAATGTGGGCGTCATGGAAGCATTTTGTGGGCGACCAAGATTCGTTTCTTAAGAGTTAAAGAATAAAAATAAATATCTTCTCACTTATGTATTTACAAAAATAAATAAAAAGATTTTATTTTATTCATTATTATTTTTATTTAGTTTTAGATTAATTTTTATTTAGTTTCAGTTTTAATTTTTACAGAAACCAAAAATTCGATAAAATTATTATCAAAAAAAAAAAATTGATAGGTATAATTATTATTCAGGATTTATATATTTTAAGTTTTTTGGTTAAATTTATATTTTTTGGAAATATGTTAGAACAAATAAAAGAAAATTAGTACTTACTGAAAATCATTCTGATTGGTATCAGCCAGGCTTCTCGATTGTTGTTCGTTACTATAAAAAAATTTAAATTTTAATAAAACACAGAAACTTAATACCAAATGCCATTTACACCTAGTTTAATTATTATTGTTTAACTTACGGCAATGGATCTGCATGTTCGGCTTGTGAAGTCTTCAATAAATCATTATGTCTGTAAAAATAAATTATTATTTATTTAATAAATTATTTTAATAATAAATAATAATAAATTATTTTTTTGTATATAATAAATAAATAATTTTTTTACTCACTCTGAAAAATCAGTAAAATCCGGAAATTTTTTATGTAGTTCTGGGCGTCTGAAAAATAATATAAATAAATAAATGTATTCGAGTTAGAAATGTAAAAAAATATTTAATGAATTCTGGACTTACACTTCGTCTTGAATATTTTGACTTGGATCTAAAAGTTTGGCCGAATCATCATAACTAAAAATAATAGTAATAGATAAATATACATTAGGGTGTACATTTTCGAATTTCTTTGCTCCAAGGGCTCAAATGCTTCCAAAGTAATAAAAAAATAATCTCTAATAGTTTTAGCTCTTAATATTAACATTTAGATAGTCCGCAATTCAAGTAAAACTTTCGTATATTTATTATTAAGTAAATTTTTGCGCCATCTGTAATAGCAGACTTGTAATTTTGATGGCAATTTATTACTAATGATTTGAGCGTCAACATCACCAATTAAATAAATATTTTGCTGCAAAATTAAATTTGATGTCATGATGTATAAATATTTCGTTAAACTGTCATGAATATCCAAACTTTTAATTGAATTGCGGACTATCTAAATGTTAATATTAAAAGCCAAAACTTTTAGAGATTTTTTTTTTATTAATTTGGAAGCATTTGAGAACTTGGTAGCAAGAACATTCGAAAATGTCCATATTAAGGACCACCCTATATATATATAAAAATTTCGTCAATTATATTATAACAGATTTTGCATTATTAAATTTAGTTTTAAATATTATTCAGTATAATCTGACTCTTCAACTTACTTTTATTTTTAAAGTATGTTTGAAGTGAAACTTCTTTAGACGCTACTAGGGTGTAAATCTGTACAAATGCAACGGAAATAGCGTTACGCCCGAACAGTTCGTCATTCGCTCTCGATAAAATCATTTTTATACGGGTCGATTGTGATTGGTCGTCGTGTCATGTGCGAATGCCATAATATTACATCGTAGTACAAATCATGATTTAATAAAAAATGTCAGAATCAGATGAATACTTTATCCTGTCCCTCGTAAATAATTATAATGAAAATAGTGTCTATAAATCTTTGAAGTTATTAAAATGGAAATTATTTTTAGGTAAGACAGATATTACAGATGCTCAAAAAATAAGACTGTATCGCCAGCAAAAAAGTAAAAAAATGCAAACAGTAAATGAATGTATGTTAATTTTAATTACATGAAGTTCTTCAAATACAATTACATAATGAGTGAAATTGTAAAAACAATATTTGTTTAGGCGTTGTTTAACATAATCCACTGTGTGAACAAATATTATAGAATTTATTAATCAGCAATTACTTCATTTCTGTAAAAGTTCGAGTCCTAAATGCTAATTACAATGACAAACCGATCATGTCATATTTGAAGTATGACTTTAATTACATTATTGTTTTTAAATATTATACATATTTTTAATGCTATTATAAATATATAATTTATAATATATCATTATATAAATGTTTATAATGGTCGACACTAATAAATGTGTGCATCACGAGTGTTACAACATTACTAATAAACATTATTCAAAATTGTTATACGATGTATTTATTTTTAACTTAAATGCCGTCTCGTACAATAGCAAAAAAGTTTTACTTCAATCGCGTGTGAACTTTACGCGCACTCCTTTTTTATTTAATTGACTAACAATAAGTCAATTAATTCATCACTTACATCTAGTTCTATACTAATTTTCCACTTACCCGTAAATCAGTGCAACTAAAGTTAAAAAAACCGTAAAAAATCTTAGCTTAAACATTTTACATTAGCATTTACTAAAGACTAACATAATTAATTTTAATTTATCAAATAAAAACTATTAAATTCAAAAATACGTTAATTACAAAAGTTTTGACAAATATCTCGAATTAAATTTTTGTTGTAAGAAAAATAACTGATTATCACTTGTTTGATATTGTCATCATGGATTTATTTAAACTGTCAGCTTTGTTTAAAAATGTTTCTTTTATTTTTTTATTTGACATATAAAACAAATTTGACTTTAATCCTAGAAGTATTTTTTAACGTTATTTTTTAACTAATTTGTAAACTATTCTTAAGCAAATTGCTGGAACTTCCCGTACCGTAATATTCGAGGAATTTTAAATGTTTTTAAATAGATTATTATAAATACTATAACTTTTATTATTCGTATTTTATAGACTAAATGTAGAAGCTTATAAATTGGACGACAACGTTTATTTATGTTTACATGAAAAGTGAATAAACAAAACTTAATCAATAGGAGTTAGAACTGAAGGACTTTATCTCATATTTCAAAGAATTATATAAACTGAATTGCAAAGTTAAAATTATTTATTTAAAGTATATAAGTGAGCTCTAGAATTTTAGCTAGAATTAAACCTAAAATTTTAAATCCATATTATTTTCGACCATTAAATAAAAGTTGAATTTTTTTCCCCGAAATTTTGAAATAAAACTAGTGGTGCATGGCATCGTGCCTTAAGGCAAATTGCTGGAACTTCCCGTACCAATAATTAAATTTTTTTAAAAAGATTCAATTTTTTTTAGAACTTTGGAAAAAATTAGATTTTTGAAAATTTAAATTTTTTGAAAAAATGTTACTTTTTTGAATATAATAGTCTTGAAAGAACAATAGGCTTCCGTACAACACATTGAGAGTTTATTTTCTCCTTTAAATAGCTATTTTAAAGTATACCGAGTTGCTGTAGGTCAGTATAATGTTAAACAATATTGTACACGATTTAATTTTACACAAATTTCTCTGATATTTCATTAAAATCGGGCCTACGGTTTAAAAGTTACAAGAGATGCAAGACGCCAAACGAATTGGTGTACTATAAATAATACGGCGGGTCAAATAAGGGTCAAGACTTTGTGACGTCACATATGTCGTGTGGGGTATCAAATAAAAGGTCTCAACGAGCACTATCTTAATAATATAATAAAAACTTCAACAAACTCACAGGGTACGTTTAATTTTTTTTGAAAAGGTTGAATTTTTTTATGCTTTAAAATATTTGAAAATTTTGAACTTTTTTAAAGCAATCGCTTTAAAGCTGCATTGGGTTTTTTCTAACAGAAATATTTGTCCCGGATCAAAAATTTTTGCCCCAGATTGTCCCGATTTTTTCGAAAACTAATACATAAATTAACAAAAATGTAAAAAAAATTAACAAACGCTATTTTTTTTAAATTAATTATGAAGAATATTGTATAAAATTATATACAAAGCCATGTTTACTTATCTATGTACAAAGCTCAAAAGCAAAGAAACATGAATATCTTATATAAAAAAGTATTGCATAAAATCGAATAATAAAATTCTTAATAAAAGTTTGCGATTGAGATATATAAATAAAAACTATTAATATATATATATATATATATATATATATATATATATCTTGATAGTTTTTTCGACGTTGAAACATATTTCAAAGTAACTAGCAGCCCATTCGTCGAAATAAAAAAGGTATAAAGTGTAAATACTTTTATTTATACGTTTCGACACAAGATGCGTGTCATCATTCAGCAACTACAACAATTTGAAAATTTTATTACTAATATAAACAACAATATAGATTAATTGTAGCATAGAGAAACATTATACACACCACAGGACAAAAACACTCAACAAAAATTTATTTTAAAAAATTAAACTTAATAACATATTAGAAAAAACATTTTTTTAGAAAAAATTATGAATAACTAAAAGATTTGAAACTAATTTGACTAAAAGTTATAAAATACATAATTGTGAGACGAGAAACACGCCCATACCGAGCATCCAGACTCGACTGAGGCGTATTGATAGGAATGGGAGGGGACGCATCAAGGACAAGATCATATGCTCAATTTCAATCACACTTTTAACACTTCCCATCCTATTATCCTTTATATCGAAAAAAATAGTGACCTTAGAAAATTTGCTGAATCCTTTTTTATTTCATTAAATTCCTCCTCTTGTGTTAATAAACGCAATTCATCCCACCTTTTACATGATAGTTATCAGATTGTTATTGATTTTATTAAAAAAACAAAAAATTAATTTGCTTATCTCTTTTTATTTTTTTATTATCTTACAATATTGTTTTTTCTTGTTCTAACGTTTACATGGTTTTCTTTTTCCTTTTGATCAATTCCAGTTCAAGCACTGTTTGTTCGAGGCGTTTTTCGTGCTTCGAGAATTTTGTCCTTGATGCGTCCCCTCCCATTCCTATCAATACGCCTCAGTCGAGTCTGGATGCTCGGTATGGGCGTGTTTCTCGTCTCACAATTATGTATTTTATAACTTTTAGTCAAATTAGTTTCAAATCTTTTAGTTATTCATAATTTTTTCTAAAAAAATGTTTTTCTCTAATATGTTATTAAGTTTAATTTTTCAAAATAAATTTTTGTTGAGTGTTTTTGTCCTGTGGTGTGTATAATGTTTCTCTATGCTACAATTAATCTATATTGTTGTTTATATTAGTAATAAAATTTTCAAATTGTTGTAGTTGCTGAATGATGACACGCATCTTGTGTCGAAACGTATAAATAAAAGTATTTACACTTTATACCTTTTTTATTTCGACGAATGGGCTGCTAGTTACTTTGAAATATATATATATATATATATATATATATATATATATATATAATATAAACAAAGATTGTTTTTTATAAATTCTAAAATAGCGCTTGTTAATAGTACTTCGCCCATTTAAGATAAGTATAAAATCAGTGCAAGAATGATAGCATTCTAGATCCTCCCCCCAAGAAGTAATGCCTAACGGCAACTTCCGCGGGGACCAGAGGCAAGGGCAAAGCGGAGGTTTTAGACGGTTTTATAACCAGGCGATATTGAGTCCGACATACCCAGACAAAAGACCTAGTCTGGGATGCATAAAGTCATTTCTTTCGCTATACAAAAAAAACTTATACATACCCATGAACTTTTAAATGATTATTTTTAGCGGAATTCGCTCTTTGAAGAGTTGAGTATATTTCAGTGCAAGAATGATCACATTCTAGATCCTCCCCCCCGCAAAGTAATGCCTAACGGCTCTTTCCGTGGAGACCAGAAGCAAGAGCAAAGCGGAGGTTTTAGTCGGTATTATACCCAGGCGGTATCGAATCCGGCATTCCCGGACAAAAGAACTAGTCTGGGATGCGTAAATGCATTTCCACACACACTCCAATTTTTTCTAAGGAATGCCAAAATGTTCAGAAACTTTCAAAACGTGAAGATATGCAAATATTTTCAATTTCAATTTTTGGCTCATTACAATAACTTATCCTACTTAATATTTATACTTTATAAATCAAACTGCATATATACATATTTCAAATAAATATGTATTAACAAAATCTTTATAACATAAATAAAAAAAACTTATTGAATAGTCGGTAAACCGCTCAAACAATCGTCCTCAGAATCCGATCCATCTTGTGGTTCTTTCTCGCCATCTTCAGGAACCTTCTTGGTTTTAGTTTCGAGATTTTTAACTAACAAACACGATGGCTTTGTTTTTATATAAACCTGCAGGAAAAAACTTACACTTAGTAAACAAAAGTTAATAAATGATACTTTTTTTAGTCAATCAAATAAATAAATAATAATTAGAAATAACTTTTGTGTGTTGTTATTTTCTTTTTATGCTGATTGATGAGGCAATTCTGCCGTAACAAGACTCATAAAATAGCGTTGTCATGGCAACAAGCAAGGTGTAATCTCATGATAACTGCATCATCTAGAATTCTATTATCATAAGATTATTCCTTGCTTCTTTATATGTAAAATACATCTGATCACACAGCAATTAGATAAACATTTTCATTATTTTCACTACCAATAAACAAGCATAAGAAAGTGTTATCATGACAATGCTATTTTATGAGCTCTATTATGGCAGAATTGTCCCATGAATTTCAGGATTTACATGTGTCTTCTTCTTTACTAATCCTACCTTATAAACTAGCTTCTTAGTGTCTCGATGATGTACTCTCAAAAACCTGTCCAAAGACACGCTTACAATAAATGGATCTTTGTCGTCACAGTATATTTTGGTTACAGATCCAGCAAAGTCTTTATATGTATTCAAGGCTCGTCCTTTGGCTCGCAGATCTATTAATTGCATTGTTCCAGTTGTTGTACCAACCAAAACCGTCCTAGAAGAAAAAAAATATAAAAAAATTAATTATAAGCAATAACACATACTTTATACTTAACATTTATCATTTATCATTATTTTATTTATTTATTTATTTAAATATATAGCCCACAGATTCCTCCAAGAGGACTCAAAAATACAATTTTTACATAATGAATAACAATTAAAATACATACAAAATTACAATATATAGTTATAAGCATAAAATGCTTACATGAAATTACATATAATGCAGAATGTGACAATAATATTTATAAACAGAATAAGATAAATAATGAGATATTTGAAAAGAAAATAAAAAGGTTAACTTGTGCAGATGGAGATTATTTGATTAGGTGAAGTGTTGTGAATATCTATTTCATTATTAATTAAGTTAAAGTTTCATTATTACCTTTCTTGGTGATAGCAAGGACTAATTGCTGTTAAAGCTGTCTGCACATCGACTATTGTGACAGGCCTGCGCTGTGTTCTGACATCGTACAACCTAGCTTTACCATACCTCGAAGAAGTTGCTATTAGACTTTCATTTTCTGGTAGAAAAACTGAATCGGATACCCATACAGGCACTTCCATTTGTAGAGCATCGTGAGGCTCCTGAAATAAATAATTTTTGTTTTAGTAAATAGATTTATTTAATTTTATTTTATTTAATTTATTAGATATATTTAAATAGATATAATTAATAATATATCTAATAAATATATATAATATTTACATTTACATTTACATTTACATTTAGATTTACATTTAGATTTACATTTAGATTTATATTTATATTTATATTTAAATTTATATTTTTAACTTCCCGTAGGGTAAGTTATTGTAATGGGCCGAAAATCGGAATTGAAAATTTTTACATTTCTCGACGTTTTGAAGGTTTCTGAACGTTTTGGCATACCTCAGAAAAAATGGATGTGTGTGTGTGTGTGTGTGTGTGTGTGTGTATGTATGTGTGGATACAAATTTCCAGTCACGTTTTAGGGCGCACGGATCAACCGATTAGAATGGTTCAAAAAACATCCGATTCCTATTGATAGGGAAAAGAGCTGATTAGTTTTTGGCAAAGGCAGGTCCAGCCGTTTCGGAGATACGGAGCAAAGAGTGCAGAAAATAGAAATCGTATTTTTGAGAGAACGGAGTATCCGATTTGAATGATCTAAAAAACATTCAATTAGTAATGATTGGGAGAAGTGTTTATTAGTTTTTGGCAAAGGCAGGCCCAGCCATTTTGAAGATACGGAGCTAATATGTAAAAAATGGCAGTTTTTGAGAGAACTAAGCGTCCAATTTAAATGATTCAAAGAACTTTCTGCTTGTCTTAACAAAATAATCGATTTTGTAATAAAAAAATATTTTTTAGTTTGTTGTACATCGGAAATATTTATTTTTAATTCTGACTATAGTTCTAATATACTTTACAAATAATTTCAACTCTGCAATTCAGTTTATATAATATTTATAAATATTAGACAATGTTACAATATTTATAATAATTTATTTGAAAACATTCAGTAATCCTCGAGTTACGGTACGGGAAGTTCCAGCAATTTGCCTTAAGGCACGATGCCATCCACCCCACTAGTTTATATTTATATTTACATTTATATTTAAATTTACATTTTAATTTACATTTACATTTATATTTATAGAGATATTTAAAGGGATATTTAAATTACAGGACATTTTAATTTATATTTACAGGAGAGGGAGAGGGAGGAGAGGGAGAGGGAGAGGGAGAGGTAGAGAGGGAGAGGAAGAGAGAGAAGAGAGGAGAGAGGGAGGAGGGAGAGGAGAGGAAGGAAGAGGAAGAGGAAGAGGAGAGGGAGAGAAGAGTGAGAGGAAGAGGAAGAGGAAGAGGAAGAGCGGGAAGAGGGAGAGAAGAGTGAGAGGAAGAGGGAAGGAAGAGGGAGAGGAAGAGGGAGAGGAAGAGGGAGAGGAAGAGGGAGAGGAAGAGGGAGAGTAAGAGGAGAGGAAGAGGGAGAGGAAGATTTAGAGAAGATTAGATTAATAGGTAGGAAGATTGATAGGAAGATTAATATTAAGAGGGATATTTAGATGGATATTTATATTTATATTTATATTTATATTTAAATTTACATTTTAATTTACATTTACATTTATATTTATATTTATATTTACATTTCAATTTACATTTATATTTATATTTAAATTTATATTTTAATTTGCTTTAAGACACTTACTAGTAGTTTTTACTTACATTTTTTGCAGTAAATGTACTCGTCCCGGTATTAATATCCCAAACTCTGGTGTTATTATCCTTTCCACCGGTGACTAATAAATTTTTGGAACTTGAACATTGTTGGAATGCTGATACATGTTTGCCGACATTGATTTCCTTTTGCTTTTCATCGTTTTCCCAAAATGTTAGATCACCTTCATTTGTGCAAGTTGCTGTAATCCTAAAGAAAAAATAAATATATAATAATATAATAAATATATAATAAAACTAAATAAATAAGTTTATTATATGTAATGACTTCTTTGGTTAAAAAATATTTTCTATATATAAATTTAAGAATGTTTTAAATTAACAAGAAGCAGAAATTTAGATAAAAATGTAATGAATTCAGTACAAATATTCTTATGAATCTTATTAATTACTTTTTGCACTGAAACACTCCAACAATAGGATTCTTATCCTCCACTCTCAAAACCAGCTTTGTACCTTCCTTCTTTGTATTATACAATCGCACAACATTATTCTTTTGTGCAAACAATATTTGGGTCTTCTCCGGGTTGATCCAACACATAGAAGTAATCGATGAGCCAACATCGGTTTCACATGTATCTTTCAAGTTTTTTATTTCTTTTAACTTTTTGGCATCTTTTGAGTCTTTGTTTTGGGAATTCGTTGTACATTCTGAAAATCAAAAATAGACATAGTGAAATTAGTAAGAGAATGAGTCATAACCTAAAAAAATGAGAAAAGAAATTTAAAAAAACTTGAAATCAGGAGTAGGAGAAATAGAAATTGTCGAAAGTAAAGTTAATAATAGATAGTTTATTTATATATTTTAATCTATATATATTATATGTATATATCATAAATAGTTTATTATCAAATTATCATTTACCACTTACTTTTTAATGTTCCTATTTGTGATCCAATGTATATCTCGTGTTGTTTATTATATGGCGATAGCACTTGCATGTTTTATTTAGATTTTTTTAAACAATTTGCATAAATATTAATTACTTAATTAACAAAATTAATAATTATCAATGTAAACACTAAACACTTGTCAAATTATTTGCACGTGTGAATTGAACATAACCTAAAAAGTTTGGCACATGAACGACATGTTCAGTGGCGCTAGCTGTTGGAGGAAATATTAACTAAAAAATATGGCGGTTATTTGAATTTGAATTTGAATAATATTAATTTATTTGAATTTAAATTATATTAATTTATATGAATATAATATATATACATATGTATAAAGTTTAAAAAAATGTAAATTGTAATTTTAAAAAAAGGAGATTTTGTAACAGCATTCGTGATTGATTGATCAGCTACATCTAGATGCATCATCGAGTGAAATATCCCATTCAGCATGTCATCGAGTGAAATATCTCATCCCATATGTATTTTTATTAACATCCCGTAAGGTAAGTTATTGTAATCGTCCAAAAATCGAAAATGAATATCTTTACGTTTCAGAGGTTTCTGAACATTTTGGCATACCTTAGAAAAAATGGATGTATGTTATTCGTCCACGTTTTCGGGCGCACTACTCAATCGATTTGAATGATTCAAAAAACATTCGATTCCTATTGATAAGGAGACGTGCTGATTAGTTTTCGGTGAAGGCAGGTCCAGTTGTTTTGGAGATGTGAAGCAGAGTAGAGAAAATAGAGATCGAGTTTTTGAGAGAATGGAGCATCCAATTAGAATGATTAAAAAAACATTCAATTCGTAGTGATGACAAGACTTGGTGATTAGTTTTTAGCAAAAGCAGGTCCTGCCGTTTCGGAGATAAGTAACTAAAAGTGTAAAAAATGACGAAGTTTCTGAGAGAACAATTCCTCTGATTCGAATGATTAAAAAACATGTTGCTTGTGAAGAAACGAATTTTCCTAATATTTCAAAAAAAAAATTCAATTTCCAATTTTTTTAAGTATCAAAAAGTTATTCGAATTTTAATTTTAATTCTAGCTAAAATTCTGAAACTCTCTTATATTCTTCAAATAAATATAACTTTGCTATTCGGTTTATACAATTCTCATAAATATGAGATAAGCTCCTTCATTCTAACTCCGCTTGATCCAGTTTTGTTTATTTACTTTTCATGTGAACCTATTAAACGCCGTCGTCCAATTCATAAGCTCTTATATTTCGTCTATAAAATACGAATAATGAAAGTTACAGTATTTATAATAATATATTTGAAATCATTTAATACTCCTTGAATATTTCATTACAGTTTCCAGCAGTTTGCCTTAAGTTCTAGCAGTTTGCCTTAAGGCACGATGCCATGCACCACTAGTCCTTAAAATTCAACAAATTTCATTAAAACTTTTTTACAAAAATTATACCTACAATAGAGATGGATTATTTACTAATTTAATTTATCTCATATAAAATTCCCTTTTTTAGTATAAATTATATTACATTTCCGTTATTTATTATATTTTAGACAAGACACTATCGTTGACATTTAATTTTTGAATTGACTGACAAGTGTATATATTTATTTAAACAAATATTAATGATATAATTTAAACAATTAAATGTTGAATTAATAAATAATATGATTTGTAAGCAGTAGATGGGTGAGCCGCGCCTGATCAAACATTTCAATGATTACGATTTGTATTTGAGAAAGGCCAAAGTCAAATTCGAACATAGGTAATAAAATTAATTAATTGATCATATTGTAAAGGACAGATTTTCCTTCTTCAACTAGTTGGTATTGGTATTTTGCCTTGAGGCAAGTTACATGAACTTCCCGAAATGTGTAAATAATCGACTTAATCAATAAAAAATAAATTAAATTATGAGTGATTAAAAGTATTCCGAGTGAATTCATTACACATAATTGAAAACGAACGAACACGTTAACTCGGAGTATTTTCTAAAAGCAAATTTTCAAAAATCAACAATTTTTATATTTGAACCAGTTTCCGTAGGACTTTAATGGTTTAGTATGTTCATTAAGACTAAGTACTCTATCGTTATTCCAAATAAATAGTCTAATTTTAATTTTAACAAACGTTAAAAAACTACTCATTTTCTCAAACTTTGATGAATTTTTAAAATTAAACTACTTGTCGTAAGACCGTAATAATTCAGTAAGTTCTATAAGACCATGATATATATCGCCAAAAAAAGTCCTATATTAATCGGCTTAATTTTTTTTCAACAGTTAATTATGATAAAACGGCTCGGTAGATTTTCACCTAAAACTAATCAGTATCATTCCCAACTAATATCTTTCGAACAGTTTTTGATTTTTTAAAATCGATTCAGTAGTTTGAGCTTAAATGCGGACAAAATTGTTGCAACTCATTGCAACACATCAAATGGTTTTTAAATTTCTGAAATCGGTTCAGGCGTTTTTGTGAATTGGTCTATGAAAGGTCTAATTTTAACAAATGCCAAAAAAACGATACCAATTATTGCAAACTTTGACGATTTTTTTAAAATTAAACGTCTAAATTTAAGTATGATCTATAAGACTATGGTATCTACCGTCAAAAAAATAGTAATAAAAATTTATCACTTTATTACATGAAAACGGCCAGGCCGATCTTCACCAAAAACTAATCAGCACGATTCCCAACCAATATCTATCGAACGGTTTTTGAATTTTCATAATCGGTTCAGAATTGCGGGCTAAAACATGGACGAAACATTTTTCAATTTCTTCTATTTATAAAAAAAAACGTCTCGACCGATCGTCGCACGAAACTGACAAACCATAGTCCTCAACGAGATACATCGAATAACTTTTAAAATTTTGAAATTGGTCCAGCCATTTTTTAAGAAAACGTCGATTTACGGCAAAGAATCTGTTCACACACACGCACATACTTTTTCCAATTTTGATCTCATTCGATTCAGAAAGGCTTGAAACGTCAAGAAAATATAAAATTAGCGAATCGGATTTTTTTAGGTAAACATGAACTTCTTCTTCGGGAAGTTAAAAAAGAAGTGCAAACGCCAGTTTTTCTTGTATTTAGAATCTAGCAATTGTAATTGAAAGCTGCTGATGCCATTGAGTAATTTTGCTAAATGCTAAAGTTGGTCCAGAATGTTGAGAAATTCTTTCTGCTGATTTAAGAACATTTCTTTAAAGATGATGTAAAAAGGCTAGAAGTCAACAACTACTCTTCAAGACTCCTTAAATTGTTAAACAATATTCACTTGCTCTAACAACTTACATAATTTGATATCAACCACCTTCAACCACAGTCTTTCTTTTCACAGTCCATATTCTATAGTCCAAAACAAACCAAAAATCTCTATCAAACTCATAAATAATTATTTCTAATTGTCCCTCATGTGATCCATTCCAGTATCCAAACTGCCATTCATGATCATTATATTTCATCTAGTTTTCCATTCCAGATATAATAAAGAGTTTGTAGAAAATGCAAAGTTGGACGACTTCATACTGCTCCGGACTTTGGGCGCAGGCGCCTTCGGCAGAGTTATATTAGTGAGTCTAAATTGATAATATTGACTAACAAGGAGAACCTCAATTTTACTTGTCTGGGATTTCGATAAAACTTTCCCTGGTGATAAAGTTGATAGTCAAAAATAAGTCCTTAAAATATTATAGGCCTATGATAAGCAGTTTAGTTGTAGTTGAAGATGATAGTAACCAAGTTCAAGAACGCGATAATGTTTAAACAATTTTATTAAAGTAAAACTTCTTTTGCAACGGAAGTGCATTACGGCAGATAAGATAAGATAAAAGTCGAGTGCCTATGATTCGTCATTCGGTCTCGATGATATCATTTCTATACGAGTAGATTGTGATTAGTCGTCCTGTATATGGATAGAGATCTGTCGTTGTATGCGTACCGGCATCGACGTTGTATGCGTACCGATATCAACAAGAAAATCGGCATAGATAAATAAACATTTTAAGGTTACATCGTAGTACAAATCTTGATTTAATAAAAATGCCTGAATCAGAAGAATATTTTACCCTGTTCCTTAGAAATTATTTCTATATTATTCGTCGTTTCTATAAATCTTGGAAGTTTTTAAAATGGAAAATATTTTTTAGGCGAGACAGATATTACAGCTGCTCAAAGAAAAGATTATATCGCCAACAAAAAAGTAAAAAAAAAATACCATCAGTCAATAAATGTATGTTAATTTTAATTACATGAAGTTCTTCAAACACAATTATTACATGACGAATGAAGTTGCGAAAACAATATTTGTTTAGGCATTGTTTAACATAATCCACTGTGCGAACGAATATTATACAATTTATTAATCAGCAATTATTCATTTCTCTAATGAGGGTTCATTTCTAAATGCTAATTACAATGACAAACCGATAATGTCATATTTGAAGTATGACTTGAATTACATTATTGATTTTAAATATTACACTAATAATTGTGTCTGGGTTATTGACACTAATAAATGTGTGCATCACGAGTATTACCATATTACTGATAAATATTATTCAAAATTGTTATATGATGCATTTATTTTTACTTAAATGTCATCTTATACAGTAGCAAATAAGTTTTACTTCAATCTCGTGTGAACCTTACTCTTTTTTTATCCAGGTTAAGCACAAAGCAAAACCAGGAGTAGCATACGCCATGAAGTTGATGGAAAAGGCCAATATCGTCAAGACAAAGCAGGTGGCACACACAATGTCTGAAATCCGTATCCTGGATGCTGTCAAGTTCGATTTTCTTGTTGGTCTCGAGTTTTTCTTTAAGGACAACGTCTATCTGTTCATCACTATGCAATTCATCAACGGAGGTAAAAATAGAAAACTGACAAAATCAGAAAGCTTGTAGAAATAAAATTGTTCTGGTACTATGGATAATACAAGACCATAGAACTAACTTAAATCATAGACAAGTCTAAAACAGACCAATGTTATGGCAAGGCTATTTTATGAAGAACTTTCCATACTAATTCGTTCTAAATAGTGACAACAGCCACTTGGTTTCTGTGCAGTCAGGCGTTTTTCTCAGGTTGTCAGATAGAAAACCTAATCCAGAAACCGCACAAATGTCAAAAAAAACAATCTTATATAACAGGGTCTTTCTGACCCAGCTTCATAGCATACGAGTGACGTTGCAGTTTATGTGTAAAACGCCTGACAGCACAGCAAATACATGATATTTTGACAGTATTCAGTATGATTCAGTAGCATAATATAGTAAAATTATTTTTGTTTTACAAATTGGCGACTGTTTAAAAAAAGTGTCTTTTTTACTGTTTTTTTCTGAGTTTCTCGAATTTTTTAAATATAGTAAAAATTGGAATTTAGGGATAATCCTAGTTCGGGCTACAGATCGGTCTATAAACAAGACTTTACGAACATTTCAAGTGAAAATTTCAAGTAGAACTCAAGAAATCGTTATACTTTAATAATATGTTATATTTATTTTATTTAATCTGCCATTCCTGATTGCCGAATCAAACCTTCTTCTACTTCAAAAAAACTATTTTCTGCATTTCTCTCTTCCAATGGAGAAGTTTTCTAGACTCCTTTGAATCGTTGGATGTACGTATTTAAGATCGTTCAATCCGGGCATCGTCTCGTCTTACAGCAAATGAATGAGTTTCTGACCCAATTTGCATTACCATAAGGGTCATCGTTTTCAAAATCGGAAAGAAACCTTCATTGAATATGCAAACAGCAATCAATGTTGCTATTTCAATTACCCGAGATCGGGAATGAATATGTTTCGGCGCGAAAATCCAAATCAACGAGTTTAGAGATTCATTATTGTTCTGAGTTTCTGAACCTATACATCAAATTAATAATTCATCCGACGATAAACTGTCATAAATTGGTCTAATGACTTCCTAATGTCTTTTGTCCAATTAGACCTTGCCAAACCCGTTTGGAGACCGGGTCAGTAAAATGCCTATATCTCCAAAAATAATTCAAATTTTTACAAACCTTCTCGTACCCATATTCTTAGATAGTTGAACTTTGAAAATATGAAACAAGAAAAAATTCGATTTTTTTGAATTTCTACACTAGAATACCCCCTTAAAAGATTTATTATACAACCCTAATGGACCATCTACAAACTGACGAACTGACGAACTAACAATCACAAACAATCCAAAACTTATTTTGCACTAATGAATTATCATTGACAACTCCAAAAACCATCCACGATCCAAAAGTCCATTACCTACCAATTAGTCGATTATTTTTTCTCCAGGTGAAATGTTCACTCACCAAAAACCACCCACCATCCAAAACTGCCATTACCCAATTACCCAATTTATTTTTCCCCAGGTGAAATGTTTACCCACCTCAGAACCGTCCGCAAATTCGACGAAGAGACCGCCAAATTCTACGGAGCCCAAGTTTGCCTGGCCTTCGAGTACCTGCATTACTTAGGATTGATCTACAGAGATCTCAAGCCCGAGAACATACTGATCGACAAGGACGGATATTTGAAGATCACCGATTACGGTTTCTGCAAAAAAGTGGACGATGCCAGGACCTACACACTTTGCGGTAACTTAAAAAAAACTAGTTGGTATTGGTATTTTGCCTTGAGGCAAGTTACATGAACTTCCCGATATGTGTAAATATTCGACTTAATCAATAAAATATAAATTAACTTAGGAGTGATTAAAAGTGTTCCAAGTGCATTTATCGCATGATTGAAAACGAACGAACACGTTAACTAGGAGTATTTTCTAAAAGCAAATTTTCACAAATCAACATTTTTTATAATTGAACCAGTTTCCGTATGACTTTATTGGTTTAGTATGTCAATTAAGACCAAGTTCTCTACCGTTATACCAGGTAAATCGTCTAATTTTAATTTTACCAAACGTCAAAAAAACTACTTATTTTCTCAAATTTTGATGAATTTTTAAAATTAAACTACTTGTCTTAAGACCGTAATATTTCAGTAAGTTCTATAAGACCATGATATATATCACCAAAAAATGTCCATAAAAATCGGCTTAATTTTTTTTTCAACAGTTAATTACAAGAAAACGGCTCGGTAGATTTTCACCTAAAACTAATCAGTATCATTCCCTACTATTATCCTTCGAACAGTTTTTGATTTTATAAAATCGTTTCAGCAGTATGAGATTAAATGTGGACGAAAAGTTTAACACTTTTTTCTAAATTACAAAGAAACGGCTCGGCAGATTGTCACACAAAACTGACAAACGACAGTCTTCATAGAGATACATCAAATGGCTTTTAAATTTCTAAAATTGGTTCAGGCGTTTTTGAGAAAACGTCGGTGAAAGGTCTAATTTTGACAAATGACAAAAAAACGACACCAATTTTTGCAAACTTTGACGAATTTTTAAAGTTAAACCAATTGTCAGGGGCTTCTTAAAAGTTTTCATATAGCGACCCCCTTCAAGCTTAGGAAATTTTAAACGACTCCCTCTTTCACATTATGAAATTTATATTAAAAAAAAAAACTTTTGTAACATTTTTTTTAATGAAAACATATTATTAAGATCAAACAATATTAATGTGTCGGATGTAAATGTTTATTTTTACACAAATAATTGAATCTAGGCTCAATTTGAGTTAGTGCAGATCGTAATAAATTTTCAACGTTAATTTGGTATTTAGTTTTTATGTAAGTTAATGTGGAAAAGGTTGATTCACATAAATATGTTGTACAAAATGGCAATAATTTGTTCATTGCCATTTCGGATAGTAGGGGATATTAGTAGTAGTAAACTATAAACTATAAACTATTCTGATTTGATTTCTATCCAAAATTAATGCACAGGCACTTTAGAAAATCTGATTCGTAAAGTAGTATCACTTGTTAATTCGGCAAATTCTTCTTGTACTTCTAAGTTTAAAAAATTAATTTCTTCCATTTCAATTGAAAATGCGTTGCAAATCCATTGTTGTGTATCGATATCATTAGGAAAATTCCTATGCATGTAAACTTCTGTATTTATATTTGTATGTAGTGTGTATACTAATTTTAAAATTTTATTTATAATGATTGAAACGTATCAGATCTTTGTGACCCTTTTTCAATAGTCTCACAGTTTAAGAAGCCCTGATCTAGAAGACTATGGTATCTGCCGTCAAAAAAATAATTATAAAAATCGTCGAAAAAATTTTTTTTACACTTTATTACAAGAAAACGGCCCGGGCGATCTTCACCAAAAACTAATCCCATTCTCAACCAATATCTTTCGAACGATTTTTGAATTTTCAAAATCGATTCAGAATTGCGGGCTAAAACGTGGACGGAAAATTTTTCACTTTTCTGTTATTTATAAAGAAACAGCTTGGACGATCGTTGCACAAAATTCAGAAACGCTAGTCCTCATCGAGATACATCGAATGGCTTTTAACTTTTTGAAATCGGTCTAGCCGTTTTCGAGAAAACGTCGATTTATTGCAGAAAAATCAGTACACACACACACACATACTTTTTCCAAATTTGGTCTCATTCGATTCAGAATGTCTTGAAACGTCGAGAAAACATAAAAGTAGCGAACCGGATTTTTCGATGAAAACATAAACTTCTCCTTCGGGAAGTTAATAATAAAATATTTAAGTCGTATTGATATTTATGTGTCCTTACCTTTTAGGTACTCCTGAATATCTGGCTCCCGAGGTGATTTTGAGTCAGGGTTACAATAAGTCTGTGGATTGGTGGACGTTTGGTATTTTGATATTCGAGATGACGGCGGGATATACTCCCTTTTTTGCCAACGATCCCATGAAGTTGTACGAGAAGATTGTTAATGGAAAGTTTAACTTTCCTGGACACTTTACAAAACCACTCAAGGATTTGGTGTACAATATACTTCAGGTGGACCGGACGAAAAGGTAAGTAGAAAATGATAGCCTTTGAAAACTTTGAGGTTTATCAAGATTCTGTTAGAATTTGGCCTATTGGCAAGTTGTCATTGAAATTTAGGTTTTATGTGGGATATAGTTAAAAAAGCAGTGCAAAAATGAAGGATGGATTGTACTCTGTCTGTTAATGTTGGATTTTGTTTAAGGTTCGGGATGATGAAAGATGGTTCCAAAGACATCAAAGCACACGAATGGTTCCGTTCCTTGGATTGGGAGAATGTCCTAATGAGAAGGGTAAAGCCCAGTTATAAACCCAAACTGACTGGTGCCGACGATGCCAGGTAATTAGATATTTAGATACATATTTAACCCATTGTACTATACATAGAAAAGAAATTTCAATAGTAATTTCTCAACGTATAGGGATTTGGCCCGATTTAATTTGATTAAATTTTGATTATACCATCCCAACTAACTCAACTACTTCATTTGGAGCCAATTCTCGGAACAGAAGTATAATGGCAAAGATATGTTACGGGTCTATCTTCGTATGAGTTGGTAGTAACAAACTTTCTAAAACCAAAGTATTTGCTGTGCGATCAGACGTTTAACACATAAAACCTAACTTCACATATGTCTTATCAAAGAGACATCAGAAAGATGCACTTATGATAAAATTGTCATTCGACATTTGTGCATTTTGGAGGTTAGGTTTTATGTGTAATACACCTGATCGCACAGCAAATACATAACTTTTTGACAATTTGTTACTAGCAATTCATACCAAGATAGACCCGTAACATTCGGTAATTAGTCCCTTGGTATAAGAAAATTTTATGGTACATTATATAACAAGATAGTACATAATATTTTCAAAAATAAAATATGAAAATTACTTGCAAAAATGTCACGTAGAAAATGTGTATCTTTTTCACATTACGAGAAAAAATGTTAATTTTTTTAATTTTTTTTGATTATTGGATGGATGAATTTAAAAAAAAACTAGTGGGGTGGGTGGCATCGTGCCTTAAGACAAATTGCTGGAACTTCCCGTACCGTAACGAAATGTTCGAGGAATACTGAATGTTTTCAAATAGATTATTATAAATATTGTAACATTGTTTAATATTTATAAGAATTATATAAATTGAATTGCAAAGTTGAAATTATTTGTTTAAAGTATATTAGAACTATAGTCAGACTTAAAAATAAAATCTGAATTATTTTCGATATACAAAAAATTAAAAAAAAAAATGGAACAAAATTTTTTTTTTCCAAAATCAATTATTTTGTTAAAACAAGCAGAAAGTTCTTTGAATCATTCAAATCGCACGCTTAGTTCTCTCAAAAACTGCCATTTTTTACATATTTACCTTTGTATCTTTGAAATGGCTGGGCCTGCCTTTGCCAAAAACTGATAAACACTTCTCCCAATCATTACTAATTGAATGTTTTTTAGATCATTAAAATCGGAAACCCCGTTCTCTTAAAAAATCGATTTCTATTTTCTGCACTCGTTGCTCCGTATCCTCGAAACGGCTGGACCTGCCTTTGCCAAAAACTAATCAGCTCTTTTCCCTATCGATAGAAATCGAATGTTTTTTGAACCATTCAAATCGGTTGATTCGTTCGCCCGGAAACGTGACTGGAAATTTGTATCCATACATACATACATACACACACACACACACACACACACACACATACACACACACATCCATTTTTTCTGAGGTATGCCAAAATGTTCAGAAACCTTCAAAACGTCGAGAAATGTAAAAATTTTCAATTCCGATTTTCGGCCCATTACAATAACTTACCCTACGGGAAGTTAAAAATCATGTAGAATATAAATACATGTGATATCTTACAAGACCCCCACGTGATATTTGGTAATTTTTTGTCAAGTCTCCCCTCTCCCTAAAAACGCCCCCTTACGTTACATAAACAAAAAACTTTTATAAAATTTGATATTTTTTATAAAATCAGTTTTTAAATTTTTATAATTTCCAAATCCTTTTTTCTGGGATATTTAAGATTAAAGTAATTTTCAAAAAAAGTATGGGTTATTTTTCAATTTTCTCATAAAAAATTAAACTTATATGAATTTATGAAAATCATGATTTTTCAAATTTTGGCTTTCGAATGCCAAAATAAAATTTTGAAATTTTTACAAGTCTACAATATATGTATTTAGCCCACTGTACCATAAATAGTCTACAAATTATAATTCATAAAATATATATTACTTTTACCATTTTTTTTTACATTTTTAGTAATTTCGACAAATACGATGAAGAACCTTTGAGGAAGGCTTCAAAAAACGAATATCCGAACGAATTCTGCAAGATCGCCGTAAAATAGATACTAAATAAATATTAAAAGGAAAAATACTAATAAAAATGTTGTGCACTGTTATAAATAAATATATATGGTGTTTTATTAATATTTTTATTATAGAACAAGCCCCGAAGAAGGACAACGACAAGTGCTCCAATATTAAATGTAGACTTTATTAACTTTTCAATAATATGTGATGAAAAAATGTGATCTGCATATATGATACTTTGTCACATTATAATTTGCTCTACAGCAGCATGGGATAATTACTCATAAATTTATATGTACATTGATGCCTCGATGCCTCATTGATTAAATCTATCATTTACACTTGCCTTAAGTCAAATTGTCAGTTACACCTTACACAACTGGTTATAAAATTCTTTGGTTATTTTATAAAGACATAGTTCACAATGTCGGTTCAAAAATCTTATCCATAGATAAATAAGCATCTTATTCTTATTCGATGCAAAAACCTTTAAGAATTTTCTAAATAAATACTATAAGATTTTGAATTCTGTGAGATATGCATATGTCACATAAAATGCCCCATATTGAAACTTTTGAACCTAGAAGGTTTTCAAACTACCCAGAACGTTTTTAGACTATCTAGAACATTTTCTGACTATCCAAATTATTTTCAGACTAGTCAAGAATATTTTCAGGCTGGCCAGAATATTTTCAGGCTAATCGAGAACATGTAAATATGTGACTAATACAGATAATTTTTAGAACGTTCTTAGACTTCAGAATTAACATTTTTTCATTCAACGTTCAAATTTAAGGTTATATTTACAATAACAAGGTACACAAAGTTTTATTAAATATATCTTCTTACCTTTACATACTGATCAACTAATAACTTCCTCACTTATATTATCACTTGAAATAACCAATTGCACAATTTATTTCATTCAGTTCATTATAAAATTCATATACAAACTGTTTTTGCAAGCTGCAAACTGATTCAAAGTGACATTAGCGGACATTTTGTATTTTGAACGTTATTAGTGTTACCATGCGTCGAATTTCTGGTATTTGTTACAGAAAATGATTGAGTTTAGTGTTACCTGATGTGAAAAAAAATCCAGTAAACAAATTCAAAATTCAAAATTAAATTGAATATAACTTATTTTTATTAACTTTGTACAAAATAAAACTAGTTGGTTTGGTATTTAGCCTTGAGGCAAATTACATGAACTTCCCGATATGTGTAAATAATCGACTTAATCAAAAAAAAAGTGTAAATAATATACTTCATCAATCCTACTTTAAAAAAAAACGATAATAATTTTAGCAAAGTTTGACGAATTTTTAAAATTAAACTACTTGTTGTAAGGCCGTAATATTGCAGTAAGTTCTATAAGACCATAATGTATATCGCCAAAAAAAGTTCCATGAAAAACGGCTTAAATTTTTTTTTTAACAGTTAATTACAAGAAAACGGCTCGGTAGATTTTCACCTAAAATTAATCAGTACCATTCCCAACTAATATCTTTCGAACAGTTTTTGATTTTTCAAAATCGGTTCGGTAGGATGAGCTTAAATGTGGACGAAAATTTAACACTTTTTTTCAACATTTAATTACAAGAAAACGGCTCGGTAGATTTTCACCAAAAATTAATCAGCATCATTCCCAAATGATATCTTTCGAACAATTTTTGATTTTTCAAAATCGGTTCGGTAGGATGAGCTTAAATGTGGACGAAAATTTAACACTTTTTTTCAACAGTTAATTACAAGAAAACGGCTCGGTAGATTTTCACCAAAAATTAATCAGCATCATTCCCAAATGATATCTTTCGAACAATTTTTGATTTTTCAAAATCGGTTCGGTAGGATGAGCTTAAATGTGGACGAAAAGTTCAACACTTTTTTTCAAATTACAAAGAAACGGCTTGGCAGATCGTTGCACAAAACTGACAAACGATAGTCCTCACCGAAATACATCAAATGGCTTTTAAATTTCTAAAATCGGTTTAGGCGTTTTTGAGAAAACGTCGATCAAAAGTCTAATTTTGACAAATGCCAAAAAGACAATACTGATTTTTGCAAACTTTGACGAATTTTTAAAGCTGAACCAGTTGTCGTAGGGCCGTAATATTTTAGTATGATCTAGAAGACTATGGTATCTATCGTCAAAAAAATAATCATAAAAATCGTCGAAATTTTTTTTTTAAAAACTTTATTACAAGAAAACGGCCCGGCCGATCTCTACCAAAAACTAATCAGCACGATTCCCAACCAATATCTTTCGAACGGTTTTTGAATTTTCAAAATCGATTCATAACTGCGGGCTAAAACGTGGACGAAAGAGTTTTCACTTCTCTGCTATTTACGAAGAAATGGTTTGGCTGATCGTCGCACAAAACTGACAAACAATAGTCCTCATCGAGATACATCGAATGGCTTTTAAATTTTTGAAATCGGCCCAGCCGTTTTTGAGAAAACGGCGATTTACGGCAAAAAATCTGTTGGTGCACACGCACACACACACACACACACACACACACATACTTTTTCCAAATTTGGTCTCATTCGATTCAGAATGGCTTGAAACGTCGAGAAAACATAAAATTAGCGAATCGGATTTTTTGATGAAAACATAAACTTTTCCTTCGGGAAGTTAAAAATGATCAATATATAACTCCACTTTCCAATTATATCAAAATTTTTGGTCACAGGAATTACCACTCTTCAGTGACTAATTTTATATAAAATCAGCCAAACTATTTTTGTAATAAACAGTTTAAATTATATAAATTAAATTTTCAAATATATTAAATTCAAAAATCAAAAAAACGCTTGAAAGATATTGGTGTAATGTAAATATTATTCATAACTGACCTTTAAAACTTATGAACAAGTAAAAAAAAATTGAGGAAGTAAAATATGAATTAATATTATTATTATACGTATATTGCAAGTTATGGTAATACTAAAGTCCGCATTTCAACTACGAATTATTCAAAATTTTCATATGCAAGTGTAAATAATAGGTTATACCAGGATTTAGTATAATTTATCTAGTTTTTACTGAAGTATATAAAACATAGCGGCTGGAGAATAATTTCCAAATTATTCAAAAAAGTGTTAGAAAATGTCCAAAATTTTCACATTGCTAAATACTCGTCTATTACCAGAAAAACGTTTCAAGATATTTAAATTTATTATATAGGTGTTAACAACAATTTTTCCTAACTTTTAAAATGTAAACTAGCTTATACTAGAGATTTATTCAAATAAAATGTATGTATAGGCTGCTATGTTATAAGTTTAAAGTAAAAAAATCAAAGATAATAAAGAAAGAATAATAGACAAAAATTAGCTAATATGCCTATAATATTTAAAGTGCTAAAACTAACATCAATTATTATCAATATCATATATTTTCCAATCATCAAATGTTTGTTTAGTACATTATTAAAAATAAAATCAATCAATTAGTATCATTAAATATCATCCTTCCATTAAAATAAATAGCCACAAAGGCTCGTTAAATTTAGTAAAATTCTGCATACTTGTCCATCTAACTTATAAAACCTACTACTATTAATCTATCCATTATTACTAACTCCCAAAAAATATACATACATATTTAATTAAAATCTTACTTAAAAATAATGTTACAATTAATCTACTTCATCATCATCGTCATCCGAGATGGCATACTTCTTTGAGATTTTCTTTTTGCGTCCTGGTGTCTTCTTGGTTTTGTTCAGCTTTAATTTCATTTTGACAGAAGAGTCGGCATCTGAGGCATTGTCATCATCATCTGGGGAAAAGATAGATTGAAATAAAAAAATAAAATGGTAATCTTATATTTAAAAATGTAGCTCTCAATCAAATGATTCGGTAAAACTCGAAAACGGCTAAACCGATTTGGCCAGTCATAGTCTTGAAAAATTCGTGCTAATCAGTAGGTTGTCGGAAAGGTGAGATATTATTTCAAAATCGCGTAGAAACTTTACATTTTTAATTTAAACATTTTTGTAGAGGCGTAATTTGAATAAAACAATGAACGGTGGCTAATACGTCAAATGTCAGATGATGTTCCATTACGTTTAATAGGATGTTTTACGTGAATATTATTTAATTATGATTAAATTGTGGTAAGTAGTTTTGTTTGTAGTTTTATTTATATACAAAAACGTTAGTAAAAGTTTTGACGTAAACAAATTGACGGCTTAAAATATATTTTAAAAATGTAAAGCGTTGTAATACAGTTATGAAATTATAGTATGTTATTTATTAATATGTGTACTGAATTATAAAAACATAAAATCAAATATGTTACTAACTAGGGTTTATACAAAAACCGACATTTCAGAAAACCGGTTTTCGATTTTTTATTTTACTAAAAACCGGTTTTAAAATTTTGCTCAAATATTCTGTAATTTATCCGCAAATTTAGTGTAATTTAGAGCAGTATTTGACTGAATTTATTTATTGTTCAATTTTATGGATAGCAAACAAAATTATTTTAATTTTAATTAGTAGAACTAAAAAATAATAGTTTATATGGATTAAATAACTTTGAAAATAATTATTCGTTATTCATGCATCATTTTCACATATAAGAATGCAAATATTTTTATGATAGTAAAAGGAAAGTTTTCGAACAAATAAAAATAATACATTTTTAAATAAAAAACATTCATTGAAATAAAAAAATAAAAAAATATTAGATACGTGTTGACTTGTTAATATCAATTATAGTTTTAAAAACAATTGCTAAACTCGCGTATTGTCTGTTCCGAGTAATCTTAATTAATTAATTTTAAACATTCTAATTGTTTTTTTGTTTAATAAAATATGATTTAAAAGAGTCCTTTATTGTTTACTCACAAAATTTTCTGAAATAGAAAATACTCTCATACTTGCGACCAAATTATTGTTTTTAAAGCCTGATATAATAATTTTAAGTTTTTTGTTCTTTAATTTGTAGCTTCTAGGGTTCAAAACTCTTTTTTTTGTTAGTTTGAGTAGAGGAAGTTACTTCTTCAAGAAGTCAAACTGATTTAAATTAATATATAAACTGGTATAAAAATCTCAATTAATATATACATTGGTCATAACACAAAACCATTCTGGGAACCATTGCAGACTGATAAGATTCCAAATGCTATTGAACCGATATGATTTCAAGAATCAGAACGCTTTCATCTATCTTTTATATTTGGCTTTAATTGTCATTTTCCATTTATAAAGTGAAAACCGACTTTTTTCACTAAAAAATCGGTTTTCGAATTCCATAATTTTCGCCAAAAAACCGGTTTTTAAAACCGGTTTTTGAAAACCGACAAACCCTATTTCTAACAGAAGAAACTAAAAAATTGCAATGTACACTTGCATACTCTATTTTTATTAGTTGCGAATCGACGGTTGGATATGATATGAGAAGTACTTTTGAAAAATGTTTTAAAAATATACAATATTATACCAGAGCTATGAAATTTTAGTATGTTATTTCCCAATATATGTACTCAATTATAAAAATATAAAATCACATATGTTTCTAACAAAAAAAGCTATAAATGTGCAATTTCGCAAACAAATGCACTCTTGCAATAGTTGCAAGTCCACGGTTTGATGAGTATTTTGAAAAATATTTAAAAATATAAAACGTTATACTAGAGTCACAAAATTTTAGTATGTTATTTCTTAATATGTGTACTAAATTATAAAAATATAAAATCACACATGTTTCTTACAAAAACAGCTATAAATTTGCAATTCAGTAAAATCATGTAATAGGGCTGCAAGTGTTACTACAAACTCAACAATATCAACTTTTTTGAAATGTTAAAATGAAAATGCACTTTTTGGCGTTGTAGCATTTTTTTTTGCAAATCATATTTTTCTGAAACACGGTGCTCTGAAAGATCTCAATTTTAAAATTACATACTCATTGGTATTTATAAAACATTTTCTAAGCTATATTATTTTTTATTTATGATGTAATTTAAATTCAGAACCTAAATTTGGTATCAATCAAAGGAACATTTTGTCGAATAACATTTTCCCAGTTATCATTTCCCAGAATTTATCGAAGAATAGATAGTAATATATGAAGGTCGGGGGTTAAAAGCGTCCACCACCAATGTGTCAAAAACCAGTAAAGTTAAGCACATTTTAACAACATTATTTGAAAGTAGGGGGAAAAAGATGTATAACCAGCTATAACCTTGATTCATATGACTTTGCTATCGGGAGATAAACGGTAATCTTTGAAAATCCATAATAAAAGTTTTTTTCCGTTGGTAGTTTTTTAGCATTAATTAAAAATGTAATTATTTTGTAAAATACCTTTAAAATTTAAATAAGACATTAAACCTGTTTTATATTAGGTTGTCAAATATCTCCCTTCCGCCTTTTTGTATTATAAACCAATAGCAAAAAAGCGGAAGGGAGATATTTGACAACCTAATAATAATAACTCATTGTGTAGAGCATTAAAACAACACATCCTTACGGGGCGATACATGTAATCGCCTTAATTTTTACCATTTTTTGAGGACTTTTTAAACTGGGAAGGAATGATTGAATCTTTTTGAACTTTTTTAGGGTTATTTATTATATATTAAAATACACAAAAAAAAATTTTTTTTTATTTTTTTCTTTTTAAATGGCTGCCGTAAAAATAAATCTGCCAAGACCCTCTCGGGAAACGCCATCAATTTGCGGGCGTTCTCACTTTTCGTACGGTGATCTGAATTTAAAAAAATTAGTTTGTACGTGTTCATAAAACATATATCTTCTAGTTAAACCAAAAAAAAATTAAAAAAGTCACAAAATCGTAAATTGGCACACCTTAGAAAAAAAAAGTTCGATTTTTCACCTTTTTTTCAATGGTTTTTTTGGTAAAAGGGTTAATTTTTGAAACATTTTTTGGAATGTTTGAGGTTTAACTAGAAGCTATTACTGTAAAGTAGATGTGTGCAAAATTTCATTGGAATCGGTTGAGAACTTTTTGAGTTATCCCGCCCGCAAGTTTCAAAAATGTCGTTTTGAGAAAAACGCGTTTAAAGTTTTGACACATAGAACAGATAAGAGTTGAGGCGTGGCACTTAAATGAGTTTTTATTGTATAAATAATGATAATTTTGTTTTGAATATTTACAGGCATATTTTTGAGATGTTATTGTAACGATTTATGAAAAAAAAAAAAATCGATTTTTTTTTTCTTGTTACATGTATCGCCCCCCTTAAAGTATTAATATTTTTGATTCTCTAGAAATTATTTAGAATATACCCTACTTAGCAAAACAACGTTTGCCGGGTCAGCTAGTAAAATATAATTATTTAGTTGTGCTTATTATATTTTTAATAAGTGTCATGATCGTGTATAAGTTAACTTTTATTACTATTACCCTTACCTTCATTTTCACTATCGGGTGTAGCAACTCTGGAAGTTGAAGCGCTTCCACTATTGCTCTGATCTTGGTTCTCAAACTTCTGTCGAGCGTTAGCAAACACAGCTTGTAGCACCACACTGTCTTTATGAATCAACGAGTCCTCCTCATTGTAGATTTGGGCATTTTGGCAAAGCTGTGTGAAATCTTTCTCCAAGTCGTTGAAATCTGCATACTATTGGTGGGAAATAGATGTAATTATTTATGTGAAATGAATAAATTGGAAGGTATATAGTAGAAACTGGATATAATGGCAGCATTTGTAATATAACATTATATCCAAATTCTAAAATAAATGATATGTTATAATGCAAAACGATTAAGCATGGAGTTCTTGAAGAGCTATGAAGATTATGAGGCCAAAAATATAAATGATAGTCTATAATCATATGAGTATTATGAGTCACAAATAAAACCTAACCTCCAAAAGTTGAAAATTTAAATTATGATAAAATTCTTATTTGTGCTTTTTGGAGGTTAGGTTTTATGTTTGAAACGCCTGAACGCACAGCAAATACATAGCATTTATACATAACATTTATATTTTATTCAAGAAATTAACCCCTACATGTTGATGAAAATATAATAATGTGTCGATAGTCAAAATGGTTTTGTTTGTGCATTTCAATGAAAGTTAAATGTACCCAAATGAATCCATTATCATTATCATTTTCCATGTTACCTCAATCAAGTTTCAATCTACCTAACTCGCTCCTCGACTGATTCGTCAGCATTATAGATTTAAAACAGTAAATTACAGATGAGGATGAATAATGAATGATGTAACTACTAAATCACCTTAACCTCTTCAATTCGTTGCATAATCTTTTTGATGTCCATTGGCTTACGAATTATTTCATAGTAGTGTGGCAGCTCCTTGCGGGACGGTAGTTTCATGAAGGGTTCACTCAGAATTCTTCCCGAACTGGGGTAAAAGACACAGGAGAAATAATAATAAAAATAAACTTGGAAATATTAGGTATGTATTTATACATGTACAGTAGAATCCGATTAGTATGACGCCGGATATATTGACAACCGCTTATTATGACGTAATCGCACTAGGAAGTTTGGTTTCCATATAAAATTCCTTAAAAAACAGCTGTCTAGTCGCATATATTGACATCGCTTACATTGACATGTCGTTTATAATGACCCATTTTTGCAAAAAATTATGTCCTATTATAATGACCGACATGATTTTACATGATGTGGCCAAGTCTACGAAAGCAATTGCTATGTCTTTTGTGCACAATAGCACCAGGGACTGTTTTTACAATAAAATTATGTAAAGAAATCAATAAAAAATTACTGATTACTTACATTAAAACATCACATTTGTATGTTTATGGGTAGGGTAGACCAATTATTAATAGTCCACCACGGATATCTCGTAAACAAATAAAATTAATTTTTTTTAAAAAAAATATTTGATAGTAGAGGGCAAAAAATGTAAAAATGTATAACCAGTCATCACCATCATTCTTATGACTTTGCTAGCAGAAAATAAGCAGCAATGAGTGGGATAAAAAGGACCAGCTGAACTTTTACTTTGGCAAACAAGTAAGCAATAAAATAGTATAAAGTTTTAAAAAGAGCAATTTTACAAGAGATTAATTAAATAAATTGTTATTTCGGCTCTTCTGATGAATATTTCTGATCAATAGCAGATCAATGTAATACACTGTGTTATCTTTGTAACAAATGTACTCACAGAATTAATATTTTGCATTCGTACAATAATGTAGCGTAAAATCCCTTTAAAATTTAATAGAAGAAATTGCATCTGTTCGCCCCCTGGTTGTTCCACTTTATCCAGTATGTGAAGTAAAATGGGTCAGATACCAAATGTTTAAAAAATAGTAAACAATATAATATTTATATAATTAGGAATTATGTACGTATGTATGTAAGTTTTTCTGAACATAGTTTGATAGATGCTTCTTTGATGTATCTTATGTGTTGTTCATTGGGTTTAGACAGTATAATTACCGTAAGTCAAATTGGACCGTTGTGCCCCCGCCCTACCCTATGTCAATTTTATTTTATATTAAATTTTAATGTGTCATTTTTATTTTTAATTAAAATGTATGTATAGGCTTTTCTTTTAAATTACTGAAACATGTAACATATTTACATATTAAATTTTCTTCAGTACGCTTTTAATGACGACCGGTTAGTATGACGAAATTTCGGCGTCCCTTCGATGTCATACTAAGCGGATTCTACTGTATATATATATAATTATTTACCCGTCTGTGTATTTGATGACAGTGTTCATGGTCTTTTTCATCTGTTTCCTCAAAACTTGGTCTGCTGATTTTCCAGAATTGCTACTCGATCCTGATGGCTGGGGACCTCGTTTGCGTTTGGCGGGAGCTGGTGATTCGCCTTCCGAATCATCATTTCTTCTGTTTCTTGAAGATAAAAAATTTTGGTTCATAAAGCACAAAACACACAAATTACAATTAATTGCTTAGATCTATATACCGATTCTGCCGCATAACAGTAAAATGTTATGGCAAGGCGATGTTATGAAAAACTTTCCATACTAAATATTGACAAAAGCCATGTCAAGCTATGCAGTCAGGCGATTTTCTCAAGTTGTCAGATAGAAAATCTAACCTAGAAACCGCACAGACGTCATAAAAACGATCTTAGATAACGGGGTCTTTCTGACTCAGCTTCATAACATACAAGGAGTGACGTTGCAGGTAATGTGTAAAACGCCTGAATGCACAGCAAAGACATAAAACTTGGACATTGACAGTATTCAGTATGATTCAGTAGCGTAATGTATGCAAGTTGGAGCGTAATATGGCCTTGCCATAACATTTTTCTGTTATACGGCAGAATCGGTCCCCTATTCTAGTAAATACTAAATTTGTAAAAGTATCAAAAACTTACTTTCGTTTGCGTCCTTTCTTCTTCTTCAGATCCTTTTCTTCCTCCTCCTCTTCCTCTTCTTCATATTCTGCTCCATCATCGATGGCCTAAAAAACAATCGAATTTTCTTACTAATATTAACTTCCCGTAGGGTAAATTATAGTAATGGACCAAAAATCAAAAATGAAAAATTGTGCATATCTTCACATTTCAAAGGTTTCTGAACATTTTGGCATTTCTCAGAAAAAATGTGCGTGTGTGCGGATACAAATTTTTTAACCAGACAGATCAACCGATTTGAATGTTTAAAAAAATATTCAAGTCCTATTGATAGGGAGATGTGCTTGTATGCAACAAAACTTAAAATTTTTAAAATAAATACTGTTAAAGAATGAATCCATTTTTTTTAAATCAAAATTACTGACTTTTATTTATTTTTTGCTTTAAATCTTTTTATAATACTTTGTTCGTTCAATTCTTTATATAAATAGCAAAAGCATAAGTGTTAATTAAAAAAGCATCAGTCAAAAAGTTTTCATAATTTTTTTTTTTTTTTTTTTCAAAATTATTAATGTACTAGCAAACCCGACGAACTCCGTTTCGCCACCAGATGGTTTCGTGAGAAAGATGAAGAAATTTTTTGTTTATTTTATATTTGAAAAGAAAAAAATTGATTTTATTACACAACAGTAATGAATTTATTTCGATTACAAAAATGAAGTGTTTTTTAGTTGAACTTCTCTAAGTAAATGAAAGTGAAATCCGCCAATTATCCGTTTCATTGAAGTGCTCTTTGGTAAACCACATTTTTTGTTTTTTGGTCTGACGTTAACACAAACGAAGCGGATGGTTTTGCAACTCGTGAACAGGCAACGTATAACTGCCCATGTGAAAAACAATGATTTTCTAAATAATCTATTTGAAATTTATCCCGCAAACACTAAGAATCAATGGTGAAATTCAGCACATAATTATTCTTTGCGGCAAGAATTGCTAGTTGACTTAACTAAGCATAATTCTGATAATTCTCACTAATGTCATTACTCGAATTTTTAATTACGGTGCATGAAGTTCCAGCAATTTGCATTAAGGCACTATGCCATGCACAACTAATTTTCTTAGCTATAAACCTTGCGGAGCCCGAGACCTTTCCAACGAATGCAAAATTATCGAAATCGGTTCGTGCGTTCTGGAGTTATTTCGTCAGGAAGGAAAACCCGACTTATTTTTATATATATAAAAGATGAAGCTATTTTAAATCACCTTTAGAATTTTGTATTCAACAATTTTTTCATTCATATGAGCATATACTTTGTACATAACATTTGCAGAATTTTATTATCAAATTAGGGCGAAAATTACTATAGAATAACAATTTAATATTTAATAAATCAAATATTTTATCGCTAATATAGGTAAATTTGGAAACTCACCTTGAGCCACTCCTTTTCGGTCAAACTATCCGTGTAATCAACTTCTTTCCTTTGACGTGAACCTCTTCCAAGAATGCTATCTTCATTTTCATCATAGGTCCATCTTTCAACCTTTAGAATAAAATTGATAATTATATTAATTTGCAACAAATGATTTATTAAATGAAATGCAAAACATATTAATTAATTGTAATAAAGATGTTATAAATATAAATAATAAAATTATTAATAAAATAAAATATTAAATTAAAATTAGAATTCAAAAATTAAAAACAAATATAAAAAAAATTGAATTTTAATTATAAATAATAAAAATATAAGTATTAATGATGAAAAACAAATAAATTTAAAAATAAAATTAGATTAGGAATAAAAACTAACTAGCTGTAAGTGGAATTCTGTCTTAAGGCAATTAAGGCATCGTGCCTTAAGGCAAATTGCTGGAACTTCCCGTACCAAAAATTATTATTTTTTAAAAAACGATTGACATTTTTAAAAAAAATTTACTTCGAAAAAATAAGATTTTTGAGAAACTATAAATTGGACAAAAAATTACTTTTTTTTTTTTTTAAAAAAAATTTTTTTTTTTAAATTTTAAATTTTTGTTTGAAAAAATAATGTTTTTTTTATTTTGGCATATCTTGGAAGATCTGAACTTTTTTTCATAGCAGCGTACTGCTTTAACTGCATAGAGACAAAATGTCAAAGCGCATAAGCGCCGCACCGCCGTCTAACGCGTAAACATTGATACGGAACCCATGGGAATGTAAACAAAATTTCTAATTATTGTTGAAATCTCTATAAAATATCTGATAATTTGATGTGCATATGTCTAATGTTCATTTTTGACCGCCAAATGGCTCACTTTTTTACTTTTTCCTCCATATCTCCAAAATCGTTGGACCTGCCTTTCCAAAATTTTGAACAGTTCTTCATCTTATTAATACAAGTAAAACGTTTTTTAAATTATTCAAATCGGACGCTCCGTTTTCTTAAAAACGGAGTTACCGTTTTTGGCACTTTTTGCCCCGTATCTTCGGAACGGCTAGAACTACCTCTGCCAAAAACTAATCAGCACGTCTCCTTATCAATACGAATCGAATGTTTTTTTTAATTATTCAAATCGGTTAATTCGTGTTCCCGAAATCGTCGACGAAAATTTGTATCCGCACATACATACACACATATACACACACACACACACATATCCATTTTTTCTAAGGTATGCCAAAATGTTCAGAAACCTTTGAAACGTAAAGATATATACAAATTTTCATTTTCGATTTTTTTGCGATTACTGTAACTTACCCTACGGGAAGTTAAAAAGGAATAAAAATAAATAAAGATAAATATTAAAGATAAAATTAGAATTAGGATTAAAAAATTAAAATCATAAATATAAATAATAAAAAAAAATAGAATTATATTGGATAATGCTTTTTGCATTGGGTATATTGTAAAACTTTTTTTTTAAGTTTGAAATTTACCTCATCGTCTTCCTTAACCAGCCACTCCGGCAACTCTGAAATTTCAATCAAACGACTCTTGCCACCTTTGTTTTCCTCTTTGCGTTTTTCATCCATCTTTTTAAAGATTTCCAATTCCTCTTCGGATCTTGAAATCATCAAGTTTATCATTTCATCATCCGGCACTTCATTTTCCTCCTATTCAAAAAAAAAAAAACAATACACATAAATAAAAATTTAATTGCACACTATAAATTGATTGTATAAAATTATGTTACCTCTTCATCAGCTTCGTCCTGATGCAAAATACTCTGCAAGAACTGTTGACGCTCTGATCCAGTTGATTTCTGATCGAACATACCGGCTTGGATGACTTTTTCGTCCATGTTCAACTTGTACCTGAAAAAGTAATAAATTCAAGTTTAAACTAGCTGTAAGTGGAATTCTGTCTTAAGGCAATTAAGGCATCGTGCCTTGAGGCAAATTGCTGCAACTTCCCGTACCAAAAATTATTATTTTTTTAAAAACGATTAACATTTTTGAAAAAATTTTACTTCGAAAAAATAAGATTTTTTAGAAATTTTAAATTGGACAAAAAATTACTTTTTTTGAAAATAAAATTTTTTTAAAAAAAAAAAATTTTAAACAATTTTTTTTATAAAAATTTTTTTTTGGAAAAAATGTTATCTTCATTTTGATATATTTTGGAAGATCTGAACTTTTTTTCAAAGCAATCGTACTGCTTTAACTGCATAGAGACAAAATATAAAGCGCGTAAGCGCCGCGTCGCTGTCTAACAGAAAAACAATGGTACGGAACCCATAGGAATGTAAACAAAACTTATACTTATTGTAAAAATCTCAATAAAATATCTGATAATTTGATATGCATATGTCTAATGTCTAATGATTATTGTTGACCGCCAAATGTTATTTTTTTTTAGTTTTTTTTACTAGATCTCCGAAACCGCTAGTCCTATCTTCATGAAAATTTGATCAAATCTTCATCTTGTTAATACAAGTAAAATGTTTTTTGAACTATACAAATCGAACGTTCCGTTCTCTTAAAAACTAAGTTACCGTTTTTGACCCTTTTTGCCCCATATCTTCGGAACGGCTAGAATGTTTTTTGAATTATTCAAATTGCTTTATCCGTGTTCCCGAAATCGTCGACGAAAATTTGTATCCGAACACACACACATGCACGCACACACACACATACACACACACATACATCAATTTTCTCCAAGGTATGCCAACATATTCAGAAACCTCTGAAACGTGAAGATATATAAAAATTTTCATTTTCGATTTTTTTGCGATTACTTACCCTATGGAAAGTTAATTATAAATAAATCAATTTATGATCTCCAGAACATTAACAATCGTCATTTCATTTCGAATCAAATTCCAAAAAAAAAAATAGTTGCCAAATTTACACAAAATTGAAAAAGTGCTCCCGCATAGTCACAGTCTAAACAAAAGCATTTGCAAATAATTCTGTGCGACATTTTCACTTATACTGTGCTCAGTTTGGCGGCATTTTCACATTTTTCAATAATTTTCACAAAATTGGAAAAGTGCTCCAGTACACAAACAGTCTAAACGCACTTGCGTAAACATTTCTACCAGAGTGGCGCTTAGACTGTGCTTAGCTTGGGTGATTTTTTAAATTTTTAGTCCAAAATTACAAAAAAAAATTTTTGAAAAAAAATTAGAAACAAAAAATTTTTTTTTACAAAATCAATTGTTTTGTTGAAAAAAGCAGAAAGTTCTTTGAATCATTTAAATCGGACGCTTAGTTCTCTCAAAAACAGCCATTTTTTTTAAATTTAGCTCTGTATCTCCGAAACCTCTGGGCCTACCTTTGCCAAAAACTAATCAGCACATCTCCCTATCAATAGGAATCGAATGTTTTTTAAACCATTCAAATCGGTTGATCCGTTCTCTCAAAAATTCGCTTTCTATTTTTTGCACTCTTTGCTCCATATCTCCGTAACGGCTGGACCTACCTTTGCCAAAAACTAATCAGCACATCTCCCTATCAATAGGAATCGAATGTTTTTTAAACCATTCAAATCGGTTGATCCGTGCGCCCGAAAACGTGGACGAAAAAACGCGGACATACAAAACACACACACACACACACACACACACACACACATCCATTTTTTCTGAGGTATGCCAAAATGTTCAGAAACCTTCAAAACGTCGAGAAATGTAAAAATTTTTGATTTCGATTTTTGGACGATTACTATAACTTACCCTACGGGAAGTTAACAATATAATCAACTAGTTGGTTTGGTATTTAGCCTTGAGTCAAGTTACATGAACTTCCCGATATGTGTAAATAATCGACTTAATCAAAAAAAAATGTGTAAATAATATACTTCATCAATCCTACTTTAAAAAAAACGATACTAATTTTAGCAAAGTTTGACGAATTTTTAAAATTAAACTACTTGTCGTAAGGCCGCAATATTACAGTAAGTTCTATAAGACCATGATGTATATCGCCAAAAAAAGTTCCATGAAAATCGGCTTAATTTTTTTTTTTTAACAGTTAATTACAAGAAAACGGCTCGGTAGATTTTCACCTAAAACTAATCAGTATCATTCCCAACTAATATCTTTCAAACAGTTTTTGATTTTTCAAAATCGGTTCGGTAGGATGAGCTTAAATGTGGACGAAAAGTTTAACACTTTTTTTCAAATTGCAAAGAAACGGCTTGGCAGATCGTCACACAAAACTGACAAACGATAGTTCTCACCGAAATACATCAAACGGCTTTTAAATTTCTAAAATCGGTTCAGGCGTTTTTGAGAAAACGTCGATCAAAGGTCTAATTTTGACAAATGCCAAAAAGACCATACTGATTTTTGCAAACTTTGACGAATTTTTAAAGCTGAACCAGTTGTCGTAGGGCCGTAATATTTTAGTACGATCTAGAAGACTATGGTATCTACCGTCAAAAAAATAATCATAAAAATCGTCGATTTTTTTTTTTTTTTAAACTTTATTACAAGAAAACGGCCCGGCCGATCTCTACCAAAAACTAATCAGCACGATTCCCAAACAATATCTTTCGAACGGTTTTTGAATTTTCAAAATCTATTCAGAATTGCGGGCTAAAACGTAGACGAAAAATTTTTCACTTTTCTGCGATTTATAAAGAAACGGCTTGGCCGATCGTCGCACAAAACTGACGAACAATAGTTCTCGTCGAGATACATCGAATGGCTTTTAAATTTTTGAAATCTGCCCAGCCGTTTTCGAGAAAACGTCGATTTACGGCAAAAAATCTGTTCACACACACACACACACACACACACACATACTTTTTCCAAATTTCGTCTCATTCGATTCAGAATGGCTTGAAACGTCGAGAAAACATAAAATTAGATAATCGGATTTTTTAATGAAAACAAACTTCTCCTTCAGGAAGTTAAAAAGCATATGTCTAATTATTTTACCTGGCTGCAGCTAAAATTCTCTCCTCGACAGAGTTGACTGTCATCAGACGTAAAACCCTCACTTCATTTCTTTGACCGATCCGATGGGCACGATCTTGAGCTTGCAAATCCTATAAAAAAATTATAAACAATCAGAAATAGTCGTATCATTATATAGTTATAAATAAATAATATTTATCTATATATTACCTGATGAGGATTCCAATCAGAGTCAAAGATGACAACGGTGTCAGCAGATTGTAAATTCAAACCGAGACCACCAGCACGAGTGGAGAGCAAGAACAAGAAGTATTCAGATTTGGGATCGTTGAATTTCTTTAAAAGGTCACCACGATCTTCTGCTTTCGTTGTACCATCCAATCTAAAAAGAAAAATAATCATAAGTAAAAATAAAAATTAATAATAATAATGATATATATATATATATATATATATATATATATATAATGTAAATAGAAAATGAATAAATAGAATTAGTATTAAAAACTATGAATTAAAATATAAATATAAATAGAAATAAATATAAATGTGGATATAAAAATCAATATAAACGAATATAAACATAAACAAAAATAAATATAGTAATTATGAATATAAATAAATATAAAATTATGATAAAAAATAAAATTAAAATTAAGATTAGCATTGACAAAGAAAAATTAGAAACATAAATTTAAATAATAAAAATGAAAACAAAATAAGAATTGAAAATTGAAACACAGATATACATAATAAATAAAATAAAAATTAAATTAGATATAGAACTAAAATTAAAAATGTAAACTTAAATGAATAAATAAATAAATAAATAAATGAATGAATATACATATATAAAAAAAAAATTAAATTAAAATTAGAATTAAAATTCAAATTAGAACTGGAACTAAAGCTAAAATTAAAATTAGAATTAAAAATATAAATGCAAAGATATATATATAAATATATATATAAATAATAAAAATATTAATAAAATAAAAAATAAAATTAGAATAGGAATTCAAAAACGAATATAAATAATGAAAAAAATTGAATTATAATTAAAAATATAAATGCAAAGATAAATTCATCTAATAAATATTAATAATAAAAAATAAATCAAATTAAATATAAAATTAGAATTAGAATTAAAAAATTAAAAACATAAATATAAATAGTAAAAAAATAGAATTATAATTAAAAATATAAATATAAATACAAGTATTAATAATAAAAAACTAATAAATTTAAAAATAAAATTAGAAATTAGAAAAACTAAAAAGAAATATAAACAATAAAAAATTAAATTATAAATAAATTAAATTAAAGATAAAATTAGAATTGGAATTCAAAAATCAAAAACAAATAAATAATAAAAAATAGAATAGAATTATAATTAAAAACTAAAAAAATATAAACAATAAAAAGAATAAATTAAATAAATAAAATTGAAGATTAGAATTAGAAAGATTAGAATTAGAATTCAAAAATTAAAAACATAAATAAAAATAATAAAAAAATAGAATTATAATTAAAAATATAAATATAAGTACTAATAAGAAAAATTTAAATACACAAAAAATTTTGAATTGGAAATAAAAGTATATATACAAATACATAACAGAAATAATATAAATATAAAAAAAAGTATTGTGAGAATTAGAATTAGAATTAAAATTAAAATTAGAATTACAATTTGAATTAGAAATAAAAATGAAAAACGCAAATATATAAGTAGAATTAGAATTAAAATTAAAAATTAAAAACAGATACAAAAAAAATGAAATTAAAAATTGATTTAGAATTAGATTTAGAATTCAAATTGGAATTAAAATTAAAAATTATTGATATAAATATACAAATATAAATATTAAATTAAAAAAAAAATGAAAATATTAATAAATATAAATTACTAATACTAATATAAATATAATAAAAATGTAAATACTAATATAAATATAAATAAATATATAAATATAAATATTAATATAAATAAATAAGATATAAATAATTTTTGAACATTCATAAAGATACTAATTAATATTTTACCTTAGATAATGAAACTGTCTCCACATCAAATAATCTTCGATAATGGTCATACATTGTGTCATTTGACAGAAAAGCAAAACTCTGTGTCCAGTCGACTTCAATTTTGGTAGAATTCTGTCGAGCAACTCAAATTTACCAGAAACTCTGTACAGATCAGGACTGAAACGAAAAATTTGATCAATATTGGAATAATTGGAACACATAAATATATATATATATATATATTTTATATATATATATATATTTTTATATATATATATATATATATAAATTTATTTATTTATTATTATTGTTACCCGTTTGTGATTCCAGTAGACCCCATATGATCAGCAAACTTCTCCTCGATATGTTGGAACATGAAAGGATGGTTACAAAGTTTACGCAACTGGACAATGGTATTCATCAGAGCCTTAGCTCCACCTTTGCCCTTATTTCCCTTCTCAGAACCATCAGTAAGCAGAACACCTTTACTCTGCATATGCCTGGATAAACAAAATACATGTTAAATAAATAGTAAATAAAATGTAGTTATAAAAATGGTATAAAGTTTACCTGTAAAGTACTTTTTGCAAACCGGACATTTCACACTTAATGATATATTCAACTTTATCAGGAAGCTGAGATTCGACTTCTTTTTTAAGTCTGCGAAGTAAGAATGGACGTAACACTTTGTGCAGACGCCTGATGATCAAAATAGTTTCTTCTTCGTTCAATTCCACCTATAAATAGCAAATAATATTACTAAATTGCAAATAACTACAATACTACTACATTTATACATTACTACACTACAATTTAATCATAAATAAATAGCATTCACGTAAAACATCCTATTAAACGTAATTGAACATCATCTGCCAAAAACGTTTGACTTTTGACGTATTAGCCGCCGTCCATTGTTTTATTCAAATTACGCTTCTACGAAAATTTTCAAATTAAGAATGTAAAATTTCTATCCAATTTTGAAATAATATCTCATCTATTTTATATTTATATTTATATAACCTTTCTATTATTATTATTATTATTATTATTACCTTTTCTCCTGTGGTAGCAAAGGGAGCATTGAACCATTGCTCGAATGTGGAGCAACTTTTGAAGATACTGGGCAACAAGAAGTTCAACAAAGCCCACAACTCGGGCAACTTATTCTGCAAAGGTGTTCCGGTCAACAGAAGTCGATGTGGTGCCAAGTAATGGGTGTTTAGGACTTGAGTCAATTTGCAGTGATGGTTCTTCATTCTGTGACCTTCGTCGATGATCATGTACTTCCAGGGTAACTGAAATAACAAGATACCGTAAGATCTATGGTAATTTTTAGATTTGATTTGTTTTTAACTTCCCGTAAGGCAAGTTATAGTAATCGCAAAAAAATCGAAAATGAAAATTTTTATATATCTTTACGTTTCAGAGGTTTCTGAACACTTTGGCATACCTTAGAAAAAATGGATGTATGTGTGTGTGTGTGTGTGTGTGTATGTATGTATGTGTGTATGTATGTATGTACGTGTGTGTATGTATGTGCGGATACAAATTTTCGTCAAAGATTTCGGGAACACGGATCAACCGATTTGAATAATTCAAAGAACATTCGATTCGTATTGATAAGGAGACGTGCTGATTAGTTTTTGGCGAAGGCAGGTCTAGCCGTTCCGAAGATACGGGGCAAAAAGTGCCGAAAACGGTAACTCAGTTTTTAAGAGAACGGAGCGTCCGATTTGAATAATTCAAAAAACATTTCACTTGTATTGACAAGATGAAGAATCGATAAAATTTTCATGAAGGTAGGTCTAGCGGTTTCGGAGATATGGAGGAAAAAGTAAAAAAAATGAGCCATTTGGCGGTCAAAAATGATCATTAGACATATGCACATCAAATTATCAGATATTTTATAGAGATTTTAACAATAAGTATACATTTTATCAACATTCTATGGGTTCCGTACCAATGCTTATGCGTTAGACAGCGACGCGGCGCTTACGCGCTTTATATTTTGTCCCTATGCAGTTAAAGCAGTACGATTGCTTTGAAAAAAAGTTCAGATCTTCCACAATATGTCAAAATAAAGAAAAAAAATTTTTTTTTTTAAAAAAAAAAAAAAAATTAAAAAAAAAATTTTTTCAAAAAAAAGTAATTTTTTGTCCAATTTATAGTTTCTCAAAAATCTTATTTTTTCAAAGTAATTTTTTTTTTTTCAAAAATGTTAATCGTTTTTAAAAAAATAATTTTTGGTACGGGAAGTTTCAGCAATTTGCCTTAAGGCACGATGCCTTAATTGCCTTAAGACAGAATTCCACTTACAGCTAGTTTTTTATTACCTTGGCTAGGACTCCTTTATCCTTGATAACGTATTCGTAGGTGGTGAGAAGGACATTGAATTTGGTGGCGCGCATCTGGCTCTGGATGGCGCGTCGACCGGCTGGACAGCCCTTGTAGGAGACCACGGCCACGCTGGGGGCCCATTTCTCGAATTCCAACAACCAATTCGAGAGAGTTCTGAAAAGATGATATAGATGATTGTATAAATTAAATTTTCATTGTGTGGTAAAATATTTATACGTATCAGAGAACTTTTGTATCAAGTTTCAGGAAGAAAAAAATGAATTATTTTGGTGGCATGAAACCAGCATTGATAATACGTAGACTATTGCATTTTAGTGAAGGCAGACTCAGCAATTTCAAATAATAATGGATTTAGATTGCAATATTTATTATATACATATATATATATATATATATATATTTAATCCAATAATTTTTCAGATTAAGTTTTAGATAATTTGATTTCCACAGATCTCGTAGAATAAGTTCTAGTGATTGCAAAATAAATGAAAATTTTTATATATCTTTACGTTTCAGAGGTTTCTGAAAATTTTGGCAAACCTTAGAATTGATGTATACATGGTTACAAATTTTAATGGACGATTTCGAGAGTATGGGTCAGCCGATTTGAACGATTCGAAAGAATCATTTCTGTCAGGTCCAGAGATTTCGAAGATGCAGAAAAGAAATGCAAAAATTGACATTTCAACTAGTTAAGCCACTCTTAAGTAGTTTTTTTTATATAAAAAAACTAAAATAACTAAATCTAATCCTATTTACAGATTTTTTCGACAAAATGTTACATTATATATTTTTTAAACATATTTCATTGCACAGGTGAGCAAATCTTCAATTTTACATTTTTTTCCAAATATTTTACAAATTTTGAATAGTTTACAAGTAGTAGCTTTTTATTTAGTTTAAGGTTTCACACCAAAATATAAAAAACTAATATCCCAGTAATAAAATTTATTATTAAATAAATGAGTAGATAAGTAAATGTATCAAATGTAACAAAAAACTAGTGGTGTATGGCACAGTACTTGAGGCAAATTGCTGGAACTTCCGTACCGAATTAAAATTTTGAAAACCTGAAAGTTTTTAAATCATTCAGATGCTTAGTTCTCTCAAAAACTGCAATTTTTTGCACATTTAGCCCCGTATCTTCGAAACCTGCCTTTGCCAAAAACTAATCACCACTTCTCTTCATCCATACAAAATTAACATTTTGTATTGTATATTTTGTAAATAAAAATTTAATGTTTTTTGGGTCATTCAAATCGGATACTCCGTTCTCTCAAAAACTCGATTTCTAATTTCTGAACTCTTTGCTCCGTATCTCCGAAACTGCTGGACCTGCCTTTGTCAAAAACTATTCAGCACATCTCCCTATCAATAGGAAATTGAAGGTTTTTTGAACCATTCAAATCGGTTGAACGGACGCCCGAAAACATGGACGAAAAATTGTATCCATGCATACATACACACTCACTCTCGCACACACACACACACCAATATGTTCAGAAACCTTCAAAACGTGAAGAAATGTAAAAAAATTCAATTTCGATTTTTGGACGGTTACAATAACTTATCCTAACGGAAATTAAAAAGTGAAAGAATGGCTCATAAATCTTGATTTTTTTGTGAGAGGCGTTTGAAATTTAGGGGGTTTATGATTTTGATGTTACATTTGAATTTTTTAAATATAATATAACTTTAGCTTATCATTGTGCTATTTTATTCCTGTATTCGATAAATATATTAAAATACGTGCATTGGCATAAATATTATCGATTTAGAATTCCTTTGCAGTAAACAAAAATAAACAAAAATATTAAAACCCACGTAAACAAGTGTGTTGTACTATTTCGGAATCGTTTATCGTCATATTTCGAGAGCACATGCCGTCTTTTCGTTCTGTTTATATATTTATATACATTTAATAAATATATATTTATTAAATACGAACACGGATACGTACGTGAATTGCTGCATACGCAAATAAATTTCGGAAATAATTTTCATGTCCGTACCAAGCACGTCGTCTAAATATATATATACAATATCATCGAGTGCAAACATTAAATTTCGATCGAACCGAATCGAACAATAAAATTGAAATAAATGTGACGGCGACCCAGGGTAGGGGTGCTCCCGAGGAAGGTAAAAAAAAGCTTGTACGACAATAGCAAAAATTACCCTAAATCATTTTTTTTTCTTTAAATTTATATAAAAAAACACGATAAAAGTTAATATTAGAATCGATGAAGAGAATTTTTTCATTAGTATGTGCGTACTAAACAAAATTGAACCCTTTTGTCGACATTTTAGAAATTTTGTCGAAATTTAAAAAATATTCGAAAATATCAGTTGGAAATCGTGCTGAAAAGTTTTTCAGGTAAAGATCGGTCGGACAGTTTTTTCATAAATAATGAAATTATCTAATTAAATGTATTAATTTTTGTTTTTATTGAGGTCATGGTATAAACCATAGGTTCCCAAATTTTTGTATGGAATTTTGTCATCAAGGTTTGGCTACCTTTAACTAATTTTTCTTTATTTCATTTTTTTATAACTGGTAATTAAAAAACACATACAGTCCTAAATTTTTACCCTCCTACCACAAACCCCTACATTTTGCAAAAGTTATATTAGTAATCACAAATAATTTATTTATAGTAATTAATTTCAGAAAATCTCATTTTGAATAAGGGTTGTCAACTACTAACCCCTTTTCAATTTTGGGACACAATTTCTTTACATTAATGTTTTAAAGTGTGTAGCAAAACACATACAAAAAGTGTGTATGCAGAAACACATACAGCCCTAAATTTTCACCCTAAATTAAAAAAATCTAATTAAAAAAAATAGATATTTTTTATGGCTGAACACGTTTGCAAGGATAGCTAGTATATATATATATATATATATATATATATATATATACATATATTACAAAAAAAATCAAGCATTTGCCCAATTAATAAAAGATTTAGTGGTGTATGGCATCGTGCCTTAAGGCAAATTGCTGGAACTTCCCGTACCCTAATGAGATATTCGAGGAAGATTAAATGTTTTCAAATAGATTATTATAATTATTTGAAGCATTATATTTAAGTGATGTTCAAATGAAGTTGATTTAAATGATATCAAAAAAATGTTTTCCCAAAAGCAATCGCTTAGCCAACATAAGCAGAATTTATTTATTTATTTATTTGTGTTTTTTAATGTTTAATGTTTTTTAGATCATTCAAATCCGATACTCCGTTCTCTTAAAAACTCGATTTCTATTTTCTGCACTCTTTGCTCTTTATCTCCAAAACTGCTGGACCTGCCTTTGCCAAAAACTAATCACCGCATCTCCCTATCAATAGGAATCGACTGCTGAATGTTCAGAAACCTCTGAAACGTAAAGATATGCTAAAAAAAATTATTTTCAATTTTCAGACCATTACTATAACTTGTCCTTCGGGAAGTTAAAAACAAAGTTAGTACTATTAAATCAACTTATATTAGTATTAAACAAATATTTTGATAACATTTCTTGCTTGTGATAAAAAATGTATATAATTTTATATACGTTTTTTTATTGTTTATTTGTTGACTTTGTATATATGTACATTAGTCATATGCATTTTATAATTAATCTTTACACTTTTATTTTATTTATTTGTATATAATTGTATAGTGCACCATATATCCTTTTCTTTGTCAATAATTTTATATATGTTGATTTCACAGTTTTATTAATTTTAAGAAATAACTTGATATATGTATATTATAGAGTGAAAGTTGTATCGACAGGCGGACAGACGGACGGATGCAATATCGACGACGACAGTAGTGGTGTCGTCACATGTTAATAATAAATTCGCATAGCAGACGCAATATTCTAATTTAAGAATTCATTGAATAAATTAAAGCCCTATAAAACATTGATAGATTTATGTATATATATATATATATATATATATATATATACACTATGTGTTTGCGTGTATGGGTTCACTTCACTTGATTTTAATTCATCAATAAATATGTACTTATGCATTGCGATTAAGTGGTGTCCGAACCCTAGCAAAAAAGATCGATTTGCATCAATTTGTCGATATAACTGAATATGAACAAAATTAAATAATTAGTTAGTATTGGTATTTTGCCTTGAGGCAAGTTACATGAACTTCCCGAAATGTGTGAATAATCGACTTAATCAATAAAATATAAATTAATTTATGAGTGATTAAAAGTATTCCGAGTGGATTCATTACGCATAATTGAAAACGAACGAACACGTTAACTCGGAGTATTTTCTAAAAGCAAATTTTCAAAAATCAACAATTTTTATAATTGAACCAGTTTCCATAATAACTTTAATGGTTTAGTATGTTCATCAAGACCAAGTACTCTATCGTTATACCAAGTAAATCGTCTAATTTTGATTATAACAAACGCCAAATAAACTACTCATTTTCTCAAACTTTGATGAATTTTTAAAATTAAACCACTTGTCCTTAGGCCGTAATAATTCAATAAGTTCTATAAAGACTATGATATATATCGCTAAAAAAAATGCATAAAAATCGGCTTAATTTTTTTTTCAACAGTTAATTACAAGAAAACGGCTCGGTAGATTTTCACCTAAAACTAATCAGTATCATTCCCAACTAATATCTTTCAAACAGTTTTTGATTTTTTAAAATGGAATCGGTAGTATGAGCTTAAATGTGGACAAAAAGTTTAACACTTTTTTTCCAAATTTCAAAGAAACGGCTTGGCCGATCGTCGCACAAAATTGACAAGCAATAGTCCCCATTGAAATACATCGATTGGCTTTTAAATTTCTGAAATCGATTCAGGCGTTTTTGAGCAATAGTCGATAAAAGGTCTAATTTTGACAAATGCCAAAAAAAACGTTACTGATTTTTGTAAGCTTTGACGAAAAACACACACACATACATCCATTTTTTCTGAAGTATGCCAAAATTTTCAGAACGTCGAGAAATGCAAAAATTTTCAATTTCGATTTTTGGACGATTACAATAACTTACCCTACGGGAAGTTAATTATATCTGCAATAAAATATATACTTTAATTTTAGATAAATGAGACATAAAAAAATGGGGCAGCACTTTTGTCAGTGTCCCAGGGCGCCAAATTTCTAAATCCGGCCTGCC